ACTCACTATTTAGGTTCTTACTCTTGGTTGCTGTCTTTAGAAATTTTCCTTCCTCTTCTCTTGTTGTTCTGAGTTCATTGTTCGTAAGCGCATAGCATTCGACAGTTGGAACCTTCCTTCTGAGTTGAACGTTCCTGTCGTAATTCTGGAAATTATTTGCCACTGTACATGATCAACATTGGTCGGTGTTGGTGATACCATGATAGCCACTTATATTATTATTGTTTCCTTTAATTCCTAGAGGAACATACGGCTTCAGTCGTGCGTCTCCATTGCGTTCGGTTCTCTGCTAGAGTCTTTGCCTGGTTCCAAGTCTGTCCACACGTTTTCATCTCCTCTTCACATGACCTCCTCCAAGTCACCCACCCTTGCACTGACGACCAACTCGCCGCTTCTCATTCGGTCGGGTTCCACTCGAGCAATGGCTTGTCTAGTGATGTCACTCACTTGATGGTTTGTTTTCTCAGAGGATGGCCAGACAATCCACCTCCATTTCTTCCTGCTTATTTGTTTCACAATCGGTTCCTGGTTGGTTCGCTCCCAGAGATCCCACCCTGTTGCTGATCTTTTCTGGCCATCTGATCTTGAGTGGTATTGAGCGAAGACAACTAGCTGTTAATGAAGGTCTGTAGTTTGTTTGAGATACTCTTCATGACACGCTGACCAAGTCTCTGATCCATCCGTATAGTGAGTAGCACTGACTGACTTCACATTGGAATTGAAAATCCGGATCTTATTTTGATTTTCATGCTGAGTGATGAGTGCTGTTGACCTCCACACAGACTTGAGAGTAGTGAAAGCTTGTCTTGGTTTCCGGATCCTCGCTGCTTTGATATCCTCGTCAGTTCCGTTGGACTGTAGTTGAAAGGATGGTTCCCAGGTAGGTTAGTAGGTGAAGGAGGTTGTTCCTTTCAGGTTCCTCCAATTTATGCTGGCTGACTGTTGTCTGTTGTTGCTGTCGGTGGTGTTGACCGGGAATCTTCATCACCTCTGTTTTCTCTATGTTCACCTGAAGAAAGTCCAATCTTCTCTGGATGCTTCTTCTACCAACTTGTTGCTGCTTTTCGCTTGCATATCTTCCAATTTGTGGGAAATCAGACATATATCATCGGCGAAGTCCAGATCATCCGCGTTTTTTGTGTGAGTCCATTTTATGCCTGTTTCCTCATTGCCCACTGTTTGTCGCATTATCCAGTCTACTGCAATCAAGTATAATTAAGCGTGGTTGTTGTTCGGGTCACTGGAGTAGACTATGGAATCTCCAGTTGACAATTCCGAGAAGTAACACTTTTTTCGGATTATACTTCACTCCACACCGTATTTTAGGTACAAGAATGGAATTTTCAGCATGTGATATCGGTAGGCCAAATTTCGTAGGCGACGTTTCATATCATGTGTGCGTGGCAGGGGATCGGACGCCGGCGAGAGTCCTAACCGCTGTGCCACTGATGCAAGCAATAACGGGGTAACATATCATCTCGAAGCATCAAAATCCTTATGGGTGATATGAATACCAACCGAACTGGGAGCAGACAATACTCAGAGAGAACTCATAATGGGTCGAGAGGTTCTCGGAGAAATGAGTGATAACGGAGAAGTATTCGTAGACTTCTACAGCTTCAATGATTTGGTGATCAGAGGAAGTGTGTTCAAACACAAGGATATACACAAGGCAACATGGATTTCGCCTGACGGACACACTCCGAACCAGATAGATTTCACCTCAATGCTGTTCAGGGAAGTGGAGATGCAGTCAACAGAGAGGGGGCAGATATGGACTCAGACTATCATCCAGTTCAGGGAACCTACAAAGTCAAGCTAAAAGCATTGAGGACAACTGAAGACAGACCACAATTCAAGTTCAACACTCAGAAACTGAAGAACAGAACTACAAAAGATATCCTCACTACAGATCAGATCAGAGCAAAGTTGGAGAAACTACTCTACTTGGCATCACTGAGGAAGCCTGCATGGAAGAACACTGGAACTATCACTCTGAAGGTGATGTTCAAGGAGACGTGTACAACTGTTCCAGGAAGAAAAAAGAGACAAGACAAGGAATGACTCTCAACGGACACCTACCTGGAAGTTAATAGAAGACAGGAGAGGAGGACTGTGAAAGAGATGACTCAATGCAAGGATGGACAAGAGAACAGAAGGAGAAGCTAAGTTCAATGTGCACTGCACTGAGTAAAGAGGTGAAGAAGAGCGCTAGCAAAGACACGAGACAATTCTACGACACGCTGGGTGGCAACCGAAGGATTTCATGGCGATGGTGCAACAAGCCTCAGAACAGTATACGATGTCACCACGTCTCTATCCGGGAAGAGATCAACGCAAGTCATGCTCATAACGATGCTGAAAGGAACCAAATAATCAAGAAGAGACGAATAAAACAATGCGCTGTTCACTTCAAAGGACTGTTGAATCGACCGTCAACTGCAACTGACCCAGATATACACCACCATCAACAGCACCCACACAAAAGCCTCCCAGTGTACACCAATCCTCCAATGAAAGCAGAAATCTTCCATGCTGTCAAGCTACTGAAAGACAGATGGGAAGGCAGTAGGACCACATGGAATCCCCTCATTCCTGCCGAAGAACCGAAAACGGACTCAGAGACTGCACAGATGTGCTCACGCCATCATTAAAAAGGATTAGAAGGAAATACCCTATCGACTAGAAGAAAGGCTGGCTAACTTGTCAAGCTACCTAAGAGGGGCAAGTCACGCCTCAATCTGCAGGAACTGAATGGGGTGGCACCCACTCGGGTGCGTACTGCCGATGATTCCCAAACTAGGATGAAACAGCAGCTGTCCAGTACTCCAGTGCTGGTTTTCAATGTTTCTCTATCTGATATCAATCCGTGATCAACTCGTAAAAACAAAACTAACCCTTACAAACCAAACTATAGAAAAATAATCGTATTTGTTGTCTGGGTCACTAGAGTTGACTATTAAATCTCCAGTTGACAATTCGGACATGTCAATTACACGTTTGTTGTCTCTCACAGATTCTTGAAATTTCTGTGAGATATCCCCTCATCATTTCAATGGCTAGTCGATGGGGAGTCTTCTCAGCTTCATACATTGTAGGAACATTCCACTAGGCAGCATTATTTCGTTTCTTTCCAATTCAAGCAAAGTATAAGCGTGTTTCATGGCAATCAAACCTCTACCTCAACTTCATAGACTTTGAGAAAGCATTCGACAGTGTTGACCGCGAAGTAATTTGGAAACTGCTCGAGTACTACGGAGTAAACACAGGAGTCAGACAAGGTTGCTTATTATCACCAATGATATTCCTAATTGTGGTGGACTGGACTGGATTATGCGTCAGACAGTGGAAAACGAGAAGACAGGGACATCCTGGACCGACGTGAAGAATCTAGAAGACCTGGATTTCACGGATGATTTATGTTTGATGTCACACAAAATCGAAGACTTACAACCGAAAACCGACAAACTGGTCGAAGAAGCAGCAAAGACAGGAAACCAAGTGAACATAGACAAGACGGAGGTTATGAAAATAACCAACCAACAACAACAACAGCAGCAGCTGCAACATTCAGCGCCAATCACCATCAACGGGAGGGATTTGAAGGAGGTTACTTCATTCACTTATCTAGCTAGGGAGCATTGTCTCAACTACAGCAGGAACGGACGAGGATGTCAAATCAAGCGAGAATCAGGAAGGCGAGAAACACATTCATCAACCTGAAACCATTCTGGAAATATTCGTCACTCAGCAACACTCAACAACAAAATTCGGATTTTCAATACAAACGTCAAGTCAGTCAGTTCTTCTATACGGATGGATCAGAAACTTGGAGGGTCAAAAAGAATATTTCCAACAGCCTGTTGCAGACATTTTTCAACAACTGTCTTCTCTCTATAATCAAGATCAGATGGCCGGAAAGAATCACCAACAAGAAACTATGGGAACAAACAAACAAAACAAAAACCAATCGCCAACCAACAGATATGCAGGAGGAAGAAGTGGAGATGGATTGGACACTCACTGAGGAGGTCGCTGGGTGACATCGCACGTCAGGCCCTCGAGTGGAACCCGAAAGGGAAGCGGCGAGTGGGACGTCCAAGGGTGACATGGAGGAGATTGTGTGAAGAGGAGCTGAAACAGTATGGACTAACATGGACGCAGGTGAAAAATACAGCAGAAGACAGAATAATAATAATAATGGCTTTATTCCAAAAAGTATTTGTGGTACAGGTATGGAATTTTCAGCGTGAAGTGGAGACGTGCAGTTGAAGTCCTATGTTCCACTAGGAACCCAAGGGAACAATAATAATAATAAGCGTGTTTCGCATATTATTTTTTCTTATGCTTTGAAGAATCTGTAGCGATTAGATTGATTGATAGATTTTCGAGGATATAGTCGCTGGCCCTACCCACACACCCAATCTTCTCTCTATTTTCCAGTGGCTAGTGTAAACTGGGCCAGATTGTTGTGTTCATGAATTGGAGTATTAGCGTGCTTCTTATATTATTCCTTCAGTCACCTATTAATCATCTATCTACCTATCTGTCTTCTGACTTATAGAAACACGCATACTGTGGTGAGAGAGCTGTCTGCGCTAGCCAAAATTGGTGGACAGTAGTAATTTACGTCAATGTTTACAGTCCCAAATATTGGTCATGAGAAAACAAGAACAAAGACTGACTGACTCAACCAACAACCAATCACAGCACACTTTGTTTGCGTAGGTGGATACAATTAGCAGATAGATAGATAGGGTCTGACCTTCAAGAAACAGCCACAAAGAGAATCCACCAATCAGAAGACTGTGTTTGTCTGCTAACAATAATCTATAATAATAATGTACATGAAAATCGATAAATATGTGTGTTGCCTGGCCGTTGTCATAGTAATCCTAAGTATACTTTACAGTGTAGCTGATGTGAATGTTGCAATAAGAAACAAATGATTACGAATGTTATATGCTACACACACACACACACCACATTTTAGGGCTTACTTTAACAAGACGTCCTGGTTGCAGAAACGGTACAATATACTGTGGACGTCGTATATACTGCCATTGTTGTGAAACTAAATCATTTAAACACGATTTAATCTGATGGTAGGATTCAACGGACTCTTCATCTTCGACAGCCATCGATTCATACATTGTGCGTAGTTCAGTCAATTCTTGACAAACAAACGAACAAACAAACAAACAGAAAATTACGTGTAAAAAAAGAAACAGTAGAAATGACTTGAATTTGTCGTATGGTTGCCAAATAAACATTCACTGTAAGTATTAAGGGGGAAGGATATAAGTTGGATGGAGGATTTTATTCATCATGAGCTGACATCAGTTAGAGAACCATTGGAAAACCAGCCTCCGTCCTAGTTTGGGACTCTTCAGCAGTATGCACCCACCACCACTGGAGTTCGAACCCAGGACCTTCTGGTTACAAGGCGAGCTAGCTAGCTGCAGACCATTGAGCCACTGGGACCTGATCCGATCCAATGGCCAGACAGCCTATGAATTCTAACTTCTGCCAATTCACGCACGACACAGCGCAACCATTTCGCAATGTCATCTTCTTTGATGAGTCAGTTACTGCCTCATCTTCAACCTGCTGCTGTACCCTAATGGTGGCACGGCTTCCCAATAGAAACACCCCAGGTCACTCACTGCCTACCTGAATAGGGCCAGTCGCTAGCTAGTGAGCATCAGATTAATTAATTTTCAAGTATTGCTTGTTTTGTAGGGATTTAGTTTGATTGATTGAAAAAATCATGCTTGCCACGCACTTTCGTATCAGTATTCTTGTGTATAGACGGAATGGAGAGGCGATCGATCAATTTCGAATTGAATGACCACGTCATTATTATTATTTATTGTTGTATCCTTTAACTCCTAGAGGAACATAGAACTTCAGCCGTGCGTCTCTATTGCGTTCGGTTCTCTGCTAGAGTCTTCACCTGGCTTCAAGTCTGCCCACACGTTTTCATCTCCTCTTCACGTGACCTCCACCACTCCATGTCACCCTCACACTGACGACCAACTCGCCGCTTCCCTTTCGGTCGGGTTCCACTCGAGCAATGGCTTGACTAGTGATGTCACTTGATGGTTTGTTATCTCTGAGTATGACCAATCCACCTTTATTTCTTCCTGCTCATTTGTTTCACAATTGGTTCCTGGTTGGTTGGTTTGTTCGCTCCCAGAGATCTCTTTTGCTGATCTTTTCTGACCGGCCGACTATCTGATCTTGAGTGGTATTGAGCGAAGACAGTTGTTGATGAAGGTCTGTAGTTTGTTTGAGATGCTCTCTATGACGCTCAGTGCAAGTCTCTGATCCATCCGTATAGTGAGTAGCACTGACTGACTTCACATTGGAGTTGAAAATCCGGATCTTATTTTGATTTTCATGCTGAGTGATGAGTGCTGTTGACCTCCACACAGACTTGAGAGTAGTGAAAGCTTGTCTTGGTTTCCGGATCCTCGCTGCTTTGATATCCTCGTCAGTTCCGTCCGCCTGTAGTTGAAACGATGCTTCCCAGGTAGGTGGTGGGTAGGTGAAGGAGGTTGTTTCTTTCAGGTTCCTCCCATTTATGCTGGCTGTTGTTGTTGTTCTTGTCCAGGAATCTTCATCACCTCTGTTTTCTCTATGTTCACCTGAAGGAAGTCCTATCTTCTCTGGATGCTTCTTCTGCCAACTTGTTGCTTTTCGCTTGCATATCTTCCAGTTTGTGGGAAATCACACATATATCACATCGGCAAAGTCGAGATCCTCCAAGGTTTTCCTGAAGGTCCATTTTATGCCTGTTTCCTCATTGACCGCTGTTTGTCGCATGACCACGTCAAGTAGTTGTTTATTCTATGAAAGTACTTAGAGGAGGAGTGCTATAATAACGTTTTCTTTGTTTCCAAAGATGTGAGTGACATATCACCTTTTTGGCACATAGCTGGGACCACCACAGTTGCACCACTGATTATACTTTATGCGCGCGAAAATAACTTGAGATAACTGGGGAGAAAAAAATTACTTATTAATAACTTATCAATATTAAACAGTTGCTGAGTGAAAATGGTTATCCAGAAAAGTTTATTGATAAGAATATATATATGAATCTAAAATCAAAGCAGCCCAAGGTACACCAACAGTTCCGAGGCAAAGGAAGGTCTTATTCTTACTAATGCAGTCAGTTCCTTGGGGACAACATCAGTGAGATACTAACACAGTTGTGCCTTAGAAATGAGGCGGTAAAACGAAGAGCATTCGGTGCTCCTGACGAATTACGCTGTGTCTTCAAAACCACCCACTCCTCTTTTGCGTTCGTTCGGGAGTAAAAGGCAACCTGCCTAATTTCACCTCTTCCATGTGTGTGTGTATCTAACAATTTAACTGCTTTCCTGTGGAGTGAGCCATTTAGTTGTATAGGCCGTACACAATTAGGCGTGTTTCACGTCGAATTTCCGAACATCACTCTGTGTGGTGGTTAAGTAAAGGAAAAACAAAATCTACTCTCAGCGCTATTCTATCTCACTCAACGTCTTGTAGATACAGAACATAATAAGAAAATGGCCTCGAAAGTACCAATATCGTGAACGAGGCATTTTTGTGTGTGGAATACACACATATATTTATGAAAAAATTGCATAAAAACTGTAGAAAAGTGTTACAGAGAGGATAGCTTCCTCTCTCACATGGGATGAAAATAGTTCTCAGTTTTAGGTTGGGGTATCAACGCAGTAGTGTAATTCCATTGTGGGTAAAATTTATTTCGATAAAGTTTCATAGTGTTATACAGCAATAGTTACTGAGCAATAGATTGTGCTTGAAACGTTGTCATCAGTGAATATTACTACTGTATAACAACACTGTGAGACTTTATCAGAATAAATTTTATCCACAATGGAATTAAACTATAGCACGGGGCACAAGTAATTTAACCACATTCTATGCATGTAATTATTTAGGTCTTCTAACCCCCACAATAACCTAAATCTTTTCTGAACTTAACCCTAAAGCGAAAAAAACTCTAAACTAACTGTAATCTAACTCGAACCAACACCTTTCTGTCGCCTTTGTGTTAGATTAACCTAACCCTCACTTGTCCTTGGCTTAAAGAGTAGCTTTTAATCTTTCGTAAACCTTAAGCTGAAACTTGCTAGATATCCTATTTAGTAACATAATATTTCGATGAGTACACTTTGTTGATGATGACAATATTATTTACCGAATTCCACCAACTTGCTCAGTGGGCTTTTCAAGGTCATTGGTGCGGTCACACTCCATTATTGGTAGTGAGTGGTGGTTAAAGTTTAACTTGCCCAAGTATTTGAATACCATGTAATATCAACATGTAGTGCTTGGGGCTCACTCACTCACTCACTCAATCACTCACTTAGTAGAATCAACGTTTGCGTGCCTTAAAATGCTCAATTAATACTGTCGTTCAAGGTGTTTTGGCTTTTAAAGAGCTGAGAAGTTACTTTTTTCTTAAGTTAACAAAATTAAACAGAAGTTTATTAGGCTTCAAAGCAAAAATATAATAATAGTAATAATAATACCACTGTTATACTTCATACCTTCTGGTTGACTACATTGACATTAAAGAAAAACTTCTACTTTGATTAGATCAAGAACATTTCTCTGATGAAAAAAGTGATATGAGAAGAAATACAGATTCTGTGGGCATATAATCAATCGGTTGTCGCCTTATCTGTTAACGCCTTCCTTCTTTCCTGATAAGGCAGTGTGTTGAGTCCAGTTAACCTATATTAGTTTGTTTATTCGACATATCACACAGTCAGTGGGTGGAACAGTATTAGTATTTACTGGATGACACAGTTTCGAACAAAAATTTTTATTGTTCATAATCATTTCCTCATCAATTATAATCACACGACTTCGAAACTTGAGTCTGATAGTTTTTTTTCTCCTCTCCTATTTGTTGTCGTCATTGGGGTAGTAGAATTTTCCAGATATTGGGGTGGACAGGTGTTGAATCATTCCTATTACACATATTCTCTCTCAGTTGATTCGATAAACAAAGCTTCTGTTATCAATCTTCCCCACTCGCCACCCTGTTAGTTGTATTAGATGTTAAAACTGTCATCTCATCCCATCCAGCCTATTGTATGGTGGTGTGCAATTGCATGTAGTGCTTGCAATAGCTGCTGAACTATTCTCTAGATTTCTTATCTTATTCGGGTCAACCAATCTAGATTTTGCTGCTAGGTTTTTATGCTGCTCGGTTTGTCTGACTCACTGACCCTGTTCTACTAGTTTGACCTATGTATTTGACCTGAAAATCATCGCAGGTAGGGTATTAGATAGACTGAATTGTTTTGTCGGTTAAAGGCTCCACAGGATTGATCCTTTAACTAATAAAGCTTGTTTCTAATTGAGTTTGTGGGTTTGAATGCCAGCAGCCACTTTTATTCCTACCTGCCTTGTTAAGAATTGTGCGTAAGGTGGTTTCCGAGGTTCCATCCTTCCTCGTATGGAATTACTACTGATGATTTAGATTCCTTATTGTTGATGTTGTCATTATCTTGTGCATGTTTGACATGCATGTTGGCATTAATATTATTATTATTATTATCACTGTCATTAATATCATTATTTATTCTATTTTTACATTTCCCTACATACTTTCTGACTAATTTATCAGGGTAATTATTAAGTTTCAAGACTAGTCCGGTAAAAACAATACACACGAACCCAAATATATTCGTTTAAAACAACATTGTTACGAAAGGCAAACAATCACCTGCATTTCTAATCACTTTGCAAGCAATCAATCAATCAGCCAAACCCTATTGTTGTGGTAGGGGGTTAGTGTGATTCTAACTGGTAAAATGCAAACCTCCCTAGGTGGAGCGGGGATTAGAAACCGTGACGTCACTAACTAAGTGTTTGCAAGTCGACCGCGTCTGTCTATCTAGACCTAGACCAGCGAAAGGCCCCCCCTCGCCCAGAAAACAGAACGGATAAGACATAAATCAATACCATGAGAGCTATTTAAAGACAAAAACTTACACAATACTTCTTAAAAATGCGAATTCTTCTCTTAAAAAGTGATTTACTCTTCAGGAATATATTCAATAGAAAAAAAACTCAATGAATGCTCCAATCGAAAATGTCCATACACTATTCAATGGAATTATTGATTTAAGTATCAAACTTGGGCAGGCACTGTGGTGGTGGTAGAGTATAACTACTCCATTATGGATAAGATTTTATTTTGATAAACTGTCACACAGTGTGTGTAGTGTTATACAGTAAGTAATATTAACTAATGAAGTAGGATTCTTAATAACAAAGCAGGAATTAGGCTGGTGGTGGCATTCAAACCTACAAACTCACTCAGGTAGGACAAGCTCTGTAGGCTAAAAGACCCTGTCGGTTGACCCAATTAAACAAAATAATATCATTTACAAAATACCTTGCAATGACTGTGAGTTAGGTCAACTACCTACATAGGTCAAACTAGTAGATCGGGTGGGGGTAGTCAGATTGTCGGAACATGAGAATTTAGCTAAGGTAAGAATGGTTGACCCCATCCGAGAAGATAAGTAATTTAAAAGTAGCTCAGACCTACATTGCACTGCATGCATTAACAACCAACTACACAACGGCATGGTGAGAGAGGGTTAAGATTCTAAGAAGTAATCTAGGTAGGTGGAGAGAGATTGATTACTGAATCCTGTCTGGTTCATCGAGTCTACACAACCAACATATGCAACAGAAATGACTCAATGCAAATACCAGAGATATGTATGGAAGATATTATAACCACCAGTCAGTCAAATCAGAGGAGGATAATAAATAATCTTAAATTGTATTCTATTTCAATTCAATTCACGTACATCACAACATTCTAACAAGTTACTTATTGTGATTGTAATTGATCAATAACACTCATATTATTATTATTATTATTTCTGAATGTACATTATCCCATATTACTGATTTGTATTCAAATGTCTAATCATCAATTCCACTCATGTATATAAATGAAGGAAGACGAAAGTTGTGTGAGTGAGTGACTTGATATGATGATTATGAGTGGCAATAATAAATTGTGCTCGAAGCGTGTGGTCGCATCAGTTAATATTACTTACTGTATAACACTACACACACACACTGTGAGTGACAGTTTATCAAAATAAAATCTTATCCATAATGGAGTTATTCAATGGAATCACACTGAAACATTAATAGTATATGATATATATAGCACACAAATTAAAAGACGAGAAAAACGGCTAAGTGATTCCATTTGACCAATTGCTTTTACAACATAACAACATACAAAGCGGAAAGATGCCCATTTTGTTGTAAGCACACTTCACGCATTACCTCTCCGCCGCAACATCCTACTGTTGTACTGTACGATGCCACAAACCTCACTTTCGACTATTCATTCATTCACACCAGTGATTCGTCATCATAATAACTATCACATGAATAGACTTGATGATATTAGATAATTGGAGGCAATCGGCGCCAGAGGAAGCCTTACCCGGACCTAGGTTTCGTGCTGCTAGTTGGCACTCACCAGTCAGTCAGTCAGCAAGGTGTATCTGCAACCACATTGAAGGAGAACAGTTCATGTCCCAGCCATCTGAGATTCGAACCCGCACATCACCACCCAGTGAGGAGTACTGCAGTCAGAGACGTTAGCACCACTGAGCAGCTATTCGGACTGGCTCGCGATTGACGTCCTCTAGGACTGTAGTGTAGTGGGTATTTTGATTGGACACTAGTCAGTAACTAGTGTGTGACGTGACTGGCTAGTCCTTTCTTTTGGTGCAGACTGAATTCTATCCCATAGCGATTTGGATAGAAAGCCTGATTATGCACACAAATTCATTTACTTTAAATGTCTATTTACGTAACCCTACTCACATCTTACCAATCTTCACCCCACTTAGTTACAACTTTGATTATTAATCACACATTTTAACTTCTTCATTATCTTGATGATATAATCAACAACCCACACTAACGTTATTTTGATTTTGACAAACCTAATGTACACACACACACAAAATTAATTATATATGCGACTGTACAGCTAAGTGAATGAATTCGCCGAAAAGAGACTCTTCGCTGAACCAATTTGTTCTTATTTCAATGTCTTAATGGGTATATTTCGTGAATTCTATCAGTCAGTCAGGTTTTGCAATGTGCCCACCATTCTAGATACCCATTACAGTCCTACAAGAGGTCAATCACGAGCCAGCCCGAATAGCTGCTCAGTGGTGCTAACGTCTCTGACTGCAGTACTCCTCACTGGGTGGTGATGTGCGGGTTCGAATCTCAGATGGCTGGGACATGAACTGTTCTCCTTCAATGTGGTTGCAGAGACACCTTGCTGACTGACTGACTGACTGGTGAGTGCCAACTAGCAGCACGAAACCTAGGTCCGGGCAAGGCTTCCTCTGGCGCCGATTGCCTCCAAATTATCTGATATCATCAAATCAATGTGTGCACCGTGTGATGGTGAGCTAGCCACCTAGTAGTGGCATGGTGGCCACATTGCAAACCTGACTGATAGAATTCAGACATCTATAAAACACAAAATAATCGAGCAAATATCCCCGCGCATCTTTACCTCACTAACCAGAAATAATGCTGGTGAAAGGAGCATGCCGATAAAAAATCGAGCAAAGAATATTCTTTTCGATAAATTCCTCTTCCAGGCTCTACAATTATATATATGCATGTTTATATACACAGAATATTTTAAATTAGTAGTCAATAACAATATTAGTGTGCTTTTTAAATAGTAATATCGATTTGTAAAGTAAGATCACAATGGAATCACCACAGTTCATTAAAGATGCTTAAATTATAATAATAACAAAGATATAATAGCGAATAGAATATCAACTAAAATTAGGGAAATTCCACAAAAATTCTGGATTATTCAAACCTGGATGGCCAAGCTAATGATAATGACTGAACTAACTTCTTTTGGGTACATAAATTAGGCTTATTAATATGGATCTCCACAGCCTCAGCAATATTTAGAAATCGAACTCTTAAAGCGAAATTGAGATTCGTAGGTATGCGGTAAATGACCCTGAAAGCATGATTAACGTCAATCTTGTGTTCAGTCTCCAAAAGATGAGCCAGAATAGCGCTGCGAATAGATTTTGTTTGACCTTTGCTTAACCAGGCAGGGTGATGTTCGGAAATTCGACGAGAAACACGCCTAATTGTACGGCCTATGCAAGTAACTGGCTCCACAGGAGCAGTTAAATTGGTATATGCACATGGAAGAGGCGAAATTAGGCAGTTTGTCTTTTATTCCCGAACGCAGAAGAGGAGTGGTTTTAAAGATACAGCGTAATTGAGCAGCAGGGAATGCTCTTTTTACCGCCTCATTTCTAAGGCACAGCTGTGTTAGTATCTCACTGGTGTTGTCTCCTAGGAACTGCATCTGTAAGAACAAGGCCTTTTTTTTAGAACTGTTGGTAACTTGGGCTGTTTTGGTTTCAGATTCATATTCTTATCAATAAACTTTTCGGGATAACCATTCTCATTTAGCAACCGTTTAATATTGTTAAGTTCCTCGTCAAGACATTCATCCGAGCAAATTGCTCTTGCTCTGTGGTGGACCAAGCACTTTATTAGATTGCGTTTGTATTTCAAGGGCACAAAGCTGAGAAAATGTGTATACTGACAGTCAGTTGATGTAGGTTTTCTATAAACACTTCTTCTTATTGTGCCATCCTCTTTTCTGGTCATAAGGACGTCTAGAAATGAAATACTAGAGTCTTTTTCTTTCTCAATAGTAAAATTTATTGCAGGATGTACCTCATTAAATTTATCCAGGATGTTCTTTGCTTCCTTTTCGTTCTTCTTCAAATCGATATTACTACTTAAAAAGCACACTAATATTGTTATTGACTACTAATTTAAAATATTGTGTATATAATTGTAGAGCCTGGAAGAGGAATTTATCGAAAAGAATATTCTTTGCTCGATTATTTTGTGTTTTATAGATGTCTGAATGAATATTTTTGCTATATTGATAGAATTCAGTCTGCACCAAACAACGAAAGGACTAGACAGACACGTCACACACACAGTCACTTTACTTTACTTTACTTCGACTATCTCCTGCGGGAGGATGAGCCGGCTTCATGAACATCAGAGAGTTCATGAAGTTTCATGGGAATTTGGTACGAGTGATGTCCCCAGAATCGCTCGGCCTTTTCTTTGAGAGTGCAGCTCTAGCCTTTACACAACCAAGTGTGACCTACAAGGCAGTAGGAGTGGAGTAGGGAGTCCACTATCCATTGGCAGCCGGTGACCGGAGTTCGGTTCATACGCCTTTTTGAATGGGGCCAGACATCCAACAAGCCCTTTGTCCATACGTCTGACGGTGAGCTCCAGTGAGCTTCATACGCCAGTCGTTGGAGGTTTGGAATCAGGGTTTAGCCATCTCCCCTAGACTGTCATCCAATGGACAGTCAACCCGGTGAAGAGCGCCGGGCATCCGCTTTCGCCCTCTCACTTTGGTGAAAAACACCTCCGCCACGTGAAGGCAGTGAGTAGGACTTCCTCAGGAGAGGCTATGTAAGACGCCCAGTCACACACTAGTTGCTGACTAGTGTCCAATCAAACATGAATAGACTACCTTACACGAAAATTGTACGATTAAAATGGAAGTAGAAAAAGATCCATATTGTGAAAAGGATTTCACAGCCTACCTTGAGATATTTCCGGTAGACTGGCATAATTTTGAAATTGACAAAAACTTTTCTCCATCATAAATTCAGGATTGATTTCTTCGACACGCAGTAAATTCAACAGCATATTATACGTGATATGAAAGGCTGAATTGAGTGGTGGCGCTGGACCCATCATTATCCGATGGGCTACTTCACTGCTCAACGATTCATCAACCATTAGGATTACCGTGCCGCTGACATCTTTACCACGACGACCAGCACGACCAGACATTTGGATATATTCACCAGAGGTTATCTATGAGGAAGGCAAATTAAAAATTTAAAAAAAAAAACGTCCGTATGGATAGGAAAAACAGCCAGTAACCATCCAATATATATATAACTATTATTATCATTATCATTATTATTATTGTATCCTTTAATTCCTGGAGGAACATAAGGCTTCAGCCGTGCGTCTCCATTGCGTTCGGTTCTCTGCTACAGTCGTCACCTGGCTCCAAGTCTGCCCACACGTTTTCATCTCCTCTTCACATGACCTCCTCCAAGTCACCCTTGCACTGACGACCAGCTCGCCACTTCCATTTCGGGTCCCACTCGACCGATGGCTTGTCTAGTGATGTCACTCACTTGATGGTTCGTTTCCTCAGAGTATGGCCAATCCATCTCCGTTTCCTCCTGCCGATTTGTTTCACAATCGGTTCCTGCTGTGTTGGTTCGCTCATTGCCAGAGATCCCTGTTGCTGATCTTTTCTGGCCATCTGATCTTGAGTATTGAGCGAAGACAACTGTTAATGAAGGTCTGTAGTTTGTTTGAGATGCTCTTTATGACGCGCTGGCCAAGTCTCTGATCCGTATAGTGAGTAGCACTGACTGACTTCACATTGGAGTTGAAAATCCGGATCTTATTTTCATTTTCATGCTGAGTGATGAGTGCTGTTGACCTCCACACAGACTTGAGAATAATGAAAGCTTGCCTTGCTTTTCCGATCGTCTCTACTTTGATATCCTCGTTAGTTCCGTCGGCCTGTAGTTGAAACGATGCTTCCCAGGTAGGTAAAGGAGGTTGTTTCTTTCAGGTTCCTCCCATTTATGCTGACTGTTGTCTGTTGTTGTTGTTCTTGTCCAGGAATCTTCATCACCTCTGTTTTCTCTATGTTCAGCTGCAGTCCTATCTTCTCTGGATGTTTCTTCTGCCAACTTATTGCTTTTCGCTTGCATATCTCCCAGTTTGTGGGAAATCAGACATATATCATTGGCGAAGTCCATATCCTTCAAGTCTCTTTTTGTGTGGGTCCATTTTATGCTTGTTTCCTCGCTGCCTGGCTCGCTGTTTGTCATATTATCCAATCTACTGCAATCAGGAAAATCATTGGCGATAATAGGCAGCCAGCCTTGTCTTACTCCTGTCCTCACTTCGAAGGATTCCGTAAGTTTCCCATTGTGCATTACTTGGCATGCAGCATTGTCGTATAGCTGATGGATGAGATGTATTATTGTCGGTGGCACCCCGTAGTAGCGAAGTAGTTTCCATATATATATATATATATGTATATATATATATATATATATATAAACACAAAGGAATAGTAATAACAAAGAACACAATATAGTTTCATTGAAAATCATAAGTCACAAGGAGTGGATGCAACTGTGACAGCCAGCCAGCCAGCCATTGAGAACGATGAGTTTGAGCCGGCCATATCACCAATTGTTGTTTCCAGCCTTCATTGGTTTTCACTGTCCGTCCCGAGGACCCCAACCAGTCAGGAAACCAGTCTACGCCTTCCTAAGTGGCTGGCTGTCTGGCTTAAACTAACTGTTGTGGATTTCTTCATTGACTGGTGAGGTGGTGTTTTGGTTTGACCACCACTCGGTTCCTCTTTTCCAGTTTGACCAATCCTATGTCAGCTAACATTGCCCCGTCCATTGTCGAGGATGGCGATGATCAGGCATGCATACATTCGTAACACATGTCCTAACCATCTCACTCAGTCGATGTAATTTCACAGCCTCATTGTCGATTGATTTCCCCTCCCACCTACCTAGCACTCGACCGGTGCCTCACCTCAATATTGCTCACCTTATTATACCACTTCACACTCGAGATAGAGCGCAGGCACCTATGATCGAAGACAGCAAATCCTTTCATGTCTTCCACTCTCAATGGCCAGGTCTCACAGCCAGCCAGCCATAAAGGAGGACGGAGCGGAGTGCTGGCTGAGCAGTACACCCGCCTTTTAGTCGATAGCCAGCCACTCAGCCGGATATCACGTCTACTAAGCCACAGACGGCGTTAAAACACTGGCGGGTGAATGCGAAACTAGCCCTCTGTATCCGTACCCAGCTGAGATTTCGTCACACATCAACAGTTAGGCTGTTAACAGCAGCAAGAAAGTTAGTTTTTTTCTTCAGCAGTATAATGAATGTTGAAAGCGTGAGTTAAAAAAGAAAATCATAATAATAATAAGTAAAAATAATCGCACATATTGCAATAAAAAGTGGAGTCCAAATCACAAAAAAAACTTTACTATAGCAATGAAAACAAATCCAGATATTTTTGATTGCACACTAGTCAGTAACTAGTGTAATGTGTCTAGTCCTCTCTTCGGTGCAGACTGAATTCTATCAGTCATGTTTGCAATGTGGCCACCATGCTATCATGCCACCATTACGGTGCACTGTGAATTGTCGGTATTAGATGGTTGGAGGCAATCGGCAGGAAGCCTTGGACCTAGCTTTTGCGCTAGTTTGCACTCATCACGCGAGCCTGAATAGCTCAGTGGTAACGTCTCTGACTGCAGCACTGGGTGACGCGGGTTCGAATCTCAGAAGGGACATCAGTTCGTTCAAGGTTACAGATACGCCTTGCTGATGAGTGTCAACTAGCACGAAACCTAAATCCAAGGCTTCCTGCCGATTGCCTCCAACCATCTAATACAAACAAATCCAGAGTTTTGTAGACATTTGCATTTTCAGGTTTACATGCACATGTATACAACAAAAGTAGCCGAGACACATCTTCCAACCCAGAATTGAAGCTTACCACCACCAGCAATCGTCAGCAATGGTACCTGCAAATTCGATGGACATCATCACACTTTGAACCACTAAGATTTCTGACTATGTTAATATGACTATGTTTCCACAACGGGAAACTTACACAATACTTCGAAGTGAGGACAGGAGTAAGACAAGCTGGCTGCCTACTATCGCCAATGATTATCCAGATTGCAGTAGATTGCATAATGTGACAAACAGCGAGCCAGGCAGCGAGGAAACAAGCATAAAATGGACCCACACAGAAAGAGACTTGGAGGATCTGGACTTCGCCTAGGAGATATATGTCTGATTTCCCACAAACTGGAAAATATGCAAACGAAAAGCAGCAACAAGTTGGCAGAAGAAGCATCAAAGATAGGACTTCAGGTGAACATAGAGAAAACAGAGGTAATGAAGATTTCTGGACAAGAACAACAACGACAGACAACAATCAGCATAAATGGGAGGAACCTGAAAGAAACAACCTCCTTTACCTACACACCACCTACCTGAGAAGCATCGTTTCAACTACAGGCCGACGGAACTGACGAGGATATCAAAGCAGCGAGGATCGGGAAAGCACGACAAGCTTTCATTACCCTCAAGTCAGTGTAGAGGTCAACAGCACTCAGCACTACTCAGAATGAAAATGAAAATAAGATCCGGATTTTCAATTCCAATGTGAAGTCAGTCAGTGCTACTCACTATACGGATCAGAGACTTGGCCAGCGCGTCATAAAGAGCATCTCAAACAAACTACAGACCTTCATTAACAGTTGTCTTCGCTCAATACTCAAGATCAGATGGCCAGAAAAGATCAGCAACAGGGATCTCTGGCAATGAGCGAACCAACACAGCAGGAACCGATTGTGATACAAATAGGCAGGAAGAAATGGAGATGGATTGGCCATACTCTGAGGAAACGAACCATCAAGTGAGTGACATCACTAGACAAGCCATCGGTCGAGTGGAACCCGAAATGGAAGTGGCGAGCTGGTCGTCAGTGCAAGGGTGACTTGGAGGACGTCATGTGAAGAGATGAAAACGTGTGGGCGGACATGGAGCCAGGTGAAGACTCTAGCAGAGAACCGAACGCAATGGAGACGCACGGCTGAAGCCTTATGTTCCTCTAGGGATTAAAGGAAACAATAATAATAATAAATTACTATGTTAAAATACACTCACTCCTCTGTCTGATGCAACGGATATAAGAATTTAAAACACAACTTATCACTTTGATAAATTTCAATAGGATATTTAGGAAAACAGGTATTAATCATTTCGTAGTTTTAATAGAACATTGTAACAATTACCAAAGGTTTTTTCTACAGTTTGGTTTGTGAGGGTTAGTTATGTTTTGTTACGAGTTGATCACAGATTGATATCAGTGAGTTAGAGAAACATTGAAAACCAGCCACACGGAGTACCGCCAGACAGTCGGCTGTTTCATCAGCCTAGTTTAGGAATCATCGCCAGTACGTACCCACCACTGACTGCACTGGGGTTCAGACCCAGGACACCTTCCGGTTACAAGCAACGCAAGCTAGCTGGCTGGCTGGCTCGTATACCATTCACCCTTCACCACTCACTGGGACCCGATTCCTCAATGGCCAGCCAGCCAACCAATGCATGAATTCTAACTTCTACCAATTCGTGATGCATTTAGCGCGACTGGTGGCACCAACCAATGTCGTCGGTGGGACATCCATCCATCCTCACACGTGACATCTGGATGGATGGACCTCACGACTTCTCACTAGAACTGACTGACTTCTGGGAAACTCCAACATTGACGTTATAAAAATAACATATAATGGTAATGACAACAAGGTTATCACTCAACAGCTTTGTCAGCCTACTTAATGCATACGAATATGCCAGTCACATCAGAATTTGCAGTCAACAATAATAATTACTATTATAAGTTGGATAACGAAGCTTTTATCAAGTTATCCGACAATTTACAAACAAACACATGCTGCAATTGGTCAGTTGCACACACTAACAGACAAACAACTTCAATACACATAAATTCATTTTGGCAGGTTAATAGATATTTGGGAAACGTAACTTAGTGTTGTAACAACAAAAGATAAGGCCAGTCAGGCGACAGATCGTTTATTAAGAAAATCAACACATATATTTAAAGCGTGGAGGATTTCATCACGACCAGCTGATATCAGTTAGAGAACCATTGGAAAACCAACCACAGGGAGTACTGGATAGCTGTTTCCCCCGTCCTAGTTTGGGACTCTTCAACAGTACGCACCCACACCGCAGGGTTTGAACCCAGGACATTCTGGTTACAAGGCCGGAGACCTCGTAGAGCATTAAGCCACTCACTGGGACCCGATTCAATGGCCAGCCAGCCAGTCTATGAATTCTAACTTCTGCCAATTCATGATATAGCTCATTATCATTACCTTATTATTACTTCCTTTAATCCCTAGAGGAACATAGGGCTTCAACCGTACACGTCTCCATTGCGTTCGGTTCTCTGCTAGAGTCTTCACCTGGCTCCAAATCTGCCCACACGTTCTCATCTCCTCTTCACATGAACTCCTCCAAGTCACCGTTGCACTGACGACCATCTCGCCACTTCCCATTCGGTCGGGTTCCACTCGAGCAATGGCTTCTCTAGTGATGTCACATGATGGTTCATTTTCTCAGAGGATGGCCAGCCAATCCATCTTCATTTCTTCCTGCTTATATGTTGCACAATCGGTTTCTGCTGTGTTGGTTCGCTCATTGCCAGAGATCCCTGTTGCTGATCTTTTCTGGCCGGCCATCTGATCTTGAGTATTGAGCGAGGACAACTAGTTGTTGACGGAGGTCTGTGGTTTGTTTGAGATGCTCTTTATGACGCGCAGTGCAAGTCTCTGATCCGTATAGTAGCACTGACTTAACATTGGAGTTGATATAGCTCAACCGCTAGCCAATGTCTTCGGCGAGTATTTGTCCTCACATCCGACCTGCTGCACCCTACTGGTCACGACTTCCCAGTAGAACCTCAGGTAACTAACTACCTACCTGAATAGGGTCAGTCGCCAATGAGCGTCTCATTCATTGATACTGTACTGTACCTACAATTAGCACAATTACTCATCGAAAGGTATTCTCTCTCCAATGAGTTGTCTGCCCTACTATGCAATTCAAACTGAGAATCTAAAATAAAATAATCCGCAGGCAAAAGATTTTTTTGTATTTGTAAAAAATCATTGATGTACTATTTAACCTAGTGGTTAGGATTCCTGGCTTTTACCCAGGCGGCCTGGGTTCGATTCCCGACGCGGGAGCCAATGCGTCGGTGGCACAGCGGTTAGGACGCTCGCCGACCATGCAAATGGTCCGGGGTTCGATCCCCGGCCGACACACTCCTTTACCTTTCTAAGCCAGAACTAATGCTGGTGAAGAGGAAAAGTTGGGCATGGGACTAGCAACCCCATCCTGTAAAATAAACGCTGCTACAGAAACTTCAAGCCACTAGGTTGAAGCCCTATATTCCACTGGGGAACGTGAAGGACAAAAAAAAACTATTTAACCTACCCAACGATAAGATTTTCCATCGTATTTCCGTGCTGATGTAAACAAGACCGTTCTGGCTGGCATATTCAAACCCATAGCGAAGGTTTCAGTAGCGAAGAGACACTGTTTTAGGAAGATAATACATAACGGAGACATAAAAAGAAAAAAAATATGTGTGATAACGCTATTATACACCTTAAACAAAAATTATCCAAAGACCACAGAGCTTCAGTGGCCTGACTAATTAAAATAATAATAATAATAATGGTTTACTTTATTCCAAAAACAGTACTTGTGATACAGAATGGAATTTTCAGCATTAATCAAAATATCTTGCATCTAATTTCCTCAAATTATAGATAAAATTAATCACACAGAAAATTTTCCACATTTACAATAGGGGTAATGTCAAAAAACATGCAGCATATAAAATGGAAATAATAATAATAATGATAGCAGCTAAGGTAGTAATAATTATACAAGTGGAAATTGCTGTGGGCTTGTTTCACACAGTATTATCGATGTGGTATAGAAATCCTAGCATGGTTAGAAAAATATTGAATATAATGTTCTCTTTACATGATATGGTGACGGGAAAAACAAAGATTACAACAGTCATAGAGGTAAGTTGGTGTTCGCAATTATGAAAGTAAAAACAAAGAATCAACAGGACCATAAATAATATAATAGAAATAATAAAAGTAAAACTTGAAGGTATTTAAAGATGGATGGAGACGATATTATCTCTTCTCTCAATATATGCCTCCACCTGTTTCATTTCACATATTCGTTATTTCATTATGAACCTCCCATTGTAGTCTTACAACCTCCTGTTTAACACAGACCACTTTGTACTAGCCACTCACCCAACACCTTTATAACCTTGAACTGACTTGTCAATTTTCCTACCCCACACTCTACAAATCTATTGTGATTAATCACCACAATTGTCTCCCTTTTTACAATATTTTGTAATCGAATTCAGCCTAGCACGTTTGTCACACAAAAACGACTATTTATTTTGACACCCCATAACTACTAATCTGTTATTCTACGTCAAAAATAAATCGGCCGCATAACTGGCCTTCATTTTAACGACAACAAATATTATATTTAATAATTGTAAGACTGTCTGTTTTCGACATAGAACTTTGCACATATGTGCGGCAGTTCAAGTCGTCACACTCCATGTAGTACACAAAGCAACAGAAGAAAGTAGAAGAAATGCATAATATAGACAGTAAACAGAGGTGTGAGACAAAGGAATAGTAATAACGGAGAACAAAACAGTTTCATCGGAAATCATAAGTCACAAAGAGTGGATGCATCTGCGCCACTGAGAACGATTTTGAGCCATGTCACCAATTGTTTACAACCATTGGTTTTTACCGTCACGAGGACCCCAACCAGTCAGGAAGTCTACACCTTCCTACGTGGTTTAGACTAACTGTTGAGGATTTCATTGACTGGTGGCATGTTTTGGTTTGACCGCCGCTAGCTCTTTTCCAGCCTGGCCCTATATCAGCTAACATTGCCCGTCGAGGAAGGCATACGTAACACATGTCCTAACCATCTCAATCGATGTAATTTCACAGTCTCGTCGACTGATTTCCCCTCCTTACCTAGCACTCAATGCCTAACCTCAATATTGCTCACCTTATTATACCACTTTACACGGGAGATAGAACACAGACACCTATGATCAAAGACAGCTAATCTTTTCATGTCTTATGCTCTCAATGGCTAGGTCTCAGCCATAAAGGAGGACGGAGCGGACTGTTGAGCAGTACACACGCCCTCTGGTCGATGGTCGGATATCACGTCTACGCCAGAGACGGCGTAAACTGACGCGCATATGCGAAACTAGCCCTCTGTGTTCGTGCTGAGATTTCGTCAAGGATGAACCCGTTGGGGCTGATGGTACTTCCCAAGTAATTGAAGCGGTCAACGTGCTCTACCACTTCACTTCCTATTTCTAATCTAGGGGTCGGTGAAGTCCAATCCTGCAGCATCATCTTACATTTTACAGGGGCGAATCGCATGCCAAACATACGAAGATTGTTGCTCAAGGTGTTCAGTAGACTCTGCTGTATTTTGTCAGCGTCCTCGCCTAGAAGGACTATATCGTCCGCATATTCAACGAGATTATTCCCTGACGGTAGCAAGTCAATCCCTGAGTCGCTGAAGTGTGTTAGGGTTAAGTCCATTAGTAAGTCTATGATGAAGTTGAATAGGAATGGGGATAATGGGCATCCTTGACGGACGCCACTAGTCGTCACCACTTCAGATGACAACTCGCCATAAGCCCTCACCTGGCTGCATGAGTACGAGTAGAGTGCCTTAATCAGTGCAATGTATTTTCTCGGCATTCCCTTTACAGCCAAGCATCGTCAGAGAACCTCCCGATAATTGTAAGAACCTGAAGAGAAATTATTGAAAAGAATATTCTTCGTTCAGATTGACTTTTAATTCATAATAAACTGTTTTTCAATACACAGGGGATGGGGGCGGGGGCTTAAGTTTATGAATAGCTATAGCCTCGGTGTATTTCAATAAGCACCCTTGACCGTTTTTATAGATGACCTTAAAGGCTGAGTTGTAACATCAATCTTATGGTTCATCCCGATTAGGTGTGTTGGCTATAGACGAAGTTGGTAGTCTGACTGACACCTGGATCTATTGGTTTTCCACAATTCATTTGTTTTTCTAACCATTTCGGGATATGCTCGCTGTCACCAACTCACATGCAAAGCGCGATTACTCCTCCCTATGTATGTGTGACCACACACACACATAGACACGAAAATCGGTAAATAGTGTGGGATGTGACATAATCACTTGTGCACTTTTGAGGTTTGCAGTGGAGCATATTTTTTCTAGCTTTTTCGACAATTACAAGCTAAGCTGCATAATAGGTTCTACGGATGATCGAATTCAACACCTTTGTCTCAAAATCCTACTGTTTATTTCCCCGTTATATGGTGGTAATTTGATGAAAACATTTTTCTTAGGGGCGGCGGTATAGATTGTAGGTTTAGAGACTAAATGACTTCTACACCTGTTTAAAAATTTTAAAGGATATCCGTTTTCAACAAGAGTATCTATCCATCAATATTTCGTTTTCTTTGTCTATAACATCAGCCGTGCAAATACGTTGAATCCTCTTAAATAGACATTTCACCAAGCCTCTCTTCTACTGTAATGGACAGAAACTGTGAAAATTAAGGTACTGCCCTGTCCAAGTAGGCTTACTGTAGAATGATCGTCTTATTGAACCATCATCTCTTCGACTCAGAAGTGTATGTCTAAAAATGCGAGCTGGTTGCGACTTTTGTTCCTCGCATGTAAGACTAATATGATTCTGTATAGAGAGTTAAGTCTGTCTGATAGACGACTCGCATCTTCATGATCGTCGCATATCAAAATGATATCATCTACATATCTCCTACAGAAGAAGGGCAATTTAGAAATTAAATCAAGGGACAAGTTCTCAACATATGACATGTAAACGTCCGCTAACAAAGGTCCTAATTGACACCGCATAGCAACGCCATCCACTTGTCGAAAATGTTCACCTTCAAACGTGAAATGGACGTGTTGTCAGTACATAATACGCCGAGGCTATCTATAGCTATTCATAAACTTAAGCCCCCGCCCCCATCCCCTGTGTATTGAAAAACAGTTTATTATTACTCTTAACCTACCTAATTTGGTAATCTTTATTTGATTCGATTACCAAACGTTGTGTTAATCATTCTTAAATCTTTTTTGCAACTTTTTTAATTTAACTTTTTCATAAATATCGATTATGAAACAAATAGGCAGGAAGAAATGGAGATGGATTGGCTGGCCATACTCTGAGGAAACCATCAAGTGAGTGACATCACTAGACAAGCCATTGCTCGAGTGGAAACCGAAAGGGAAGCGGCGAGTTGGTCGTCAGTGCGAGGATGACTTGGAGGAGGTCATGTGAAGAGGAGATGATGAAAACGTGTGGGCAGACTTGGAGCCAGGAGAAGACTCTAGCAGAGAACCGAACGCAGTTTTTCATCAATATTTCGTTTTCTTTGTCTATAACATCAGACATTTCACCAAGAAGCCTCTCTTATACTGTAATGGACAAAAACTGTGAAAATTAAGGTACGGTTGCCCTTTCCAGGTGCGCTTACTGTACATTGATCGATCGTCTTACTTACTTTACTTTACTTCGGCTATCTCCTACGGGAGGATGAGCCGGCTTCATGAACATCTCGAATCATCGCTGCCTAGGTGCGGCGATCTGATGCAAGGTTTTGCGACAGGGTTATCCAATTCTTGTTCCACAGACGGAGTCCGTAGACGGTTTGTAGCTCCAGGCACTCCATATCAGCCTTGACTGTACCAAGCCATGTTTTCAGCTGTCCACCCCTGCGACATCGCCAAGATGGTAATGGCGAGGGATTTAGAACTGATTTGACCAGATCGTCATCTGGTCGGCGCAGAACATGGCCAAACCACCGAAGGCGACGTTGTTGGACCAGTACTGGAATTTGGTTGATGTTGTAGCAACGATAAGATAACCACCGGGTGAGCACAGGGCGCGTCGCTTACCGGGAACGCCGTAGCATGGTGAGAGTCGTTTGTAAGAGAGTTCATGAAGTTTCATAGGAATTTGGTACGAGTGATGTCCCCAGAATCGCTCGGCCTTTTGTTTGAGAGTGCAGCTCTAGCCTTTACACAACCAAGTGTGACCTACAAGGCAGTAGGAGTGGAGTAGGGAGTCCACTATCCATTGGCAGCCGGTTACCGGAGTTCGGTTCATACGCCTTTTTGAATGGGGCCAGACATCCAGGACATCCAACAAGCCCTTTGTCCATACGTCTGCCGGTGAGCTCCAGTGAGCTTCATACACCAGTCGTTGGAGGTTTGGAATCAGGGTTTATCCATCTCCCCTAGACTGTCATCCAATGGACAGTCAACCCGGTGAAGAGCGCCGGGCATCCGCTTTCGCCCTCTCACTTTGGTGAAAAAAACAACTCCGCCACGTGAAGGCAGTGAGTAGGACTTCCTCAGGAGAGGCTATGTAAGACGCCCGGTCATATGGTAGCATTTCAAGAGGTGTTCGGAGGGGTGGCCAACCCGCAGCGCAAGGCACCCACCCCGACCATCCTGAGGCTTTGGAGGCCTCTTCCTATTGAACCATCATCATCTCTTCAACTCAGAAGTGTATGTCTAAAAATGCAAGTAAATGTGTCGGGGATCACAGATTGTTGTTCGAAATGTATAGCGCAAATACATCACATCACATCACATTGTTTTTTTTTGTCAGATAATCTCCGTCTTCTAATCACACACAACACTATCCAAGTAATACATTTACGATATATATGTTGTATAAGGTTTCCCGGAAAGAATCATCAACAAGAAACTATGGGACCAAACAAACAAACAAAACAAGAACCAATCGCCCAACAAATATACAGGAGAAAGAAGTGGAGATGGATTGGATACTCGGTGAGGAGGCCGCTGTTGGGTGACATCGCGCATCAGGCCATCGCTCGAGTGGAACCCGAATGGGAAGCGGCGAGTGGGTCGTGTCTCCAAGGGTGACATGGAGGAGATCCTGTGAAGAGGAGTTGAAACAGCTTGGACTAACATGGATGCAAGTGAAAAGAGTACAGCAGAAGACAGAAGCAGCAAGTGGAGGCGTGCAGTTGAAGCCCTCCCTATGTTCCACTAGGAACCCAAGGGAACAATAATAATCATAATAATAATAAGGTTTCCCGGCAATTCACTCACCTTAATTAAATTCTCCGAAAATAATATTTCTGTTATTTCCTTTAACAAAGGTAGCAAACCCCCATGATGAATGCCAATACCACGTTTCAGTAAGGGTAGGATACTTTCCACTTGTGGTAATGCACGATCTTCCGGTGAAAGACCATCTGTAGCATTGCGAAATACCTCTTCTGTGATTTCCTTCTCAGCATCTGCATGCAGTTTTTTAAAAAAACAACAACAGGTATTTAACGAACAATGAAGTTGTTTTTTTAAAAAAAAGAAAATATCAAAATGACCGATGGTTTGACTAAGTTGAGAATTTTCAAGCTTAGCCATAAAAGAATCAGCCAACTAGGGACCCAGTGGTGATCCCATAGCAATGCCGTCTCTCTGTCTTAGGTGGAACGAATGCATTTGCACCTAGTGCTAGAAAATCTTCATAGGCGTAAGTTTTTATCAGACTGTTGTCAGGAGAGAGAAATGAGCTGCTTTAGCTTTTCGATGATGATGATGACGATGACGAGTTGGAAAGAAGAATAATGTGTCGAAGACTTTCTGGTGCTGCTGATGAGATCAGGCGGTCAACAACTTCAGTGGAATCACAGAACAGGACTTGAAGCCTTGTTTGCTTGACTATGCTTAGCACAGCTTCATCGCCCAAGGTGTCATACAACGGTACAATAGTATAACCAGAGAATGCACAGGCTAACTCTATCATTATCCATTCAGGAGAATTTTTCGATGAAATACCTACGAAGTGGTTTCCATTGAGGCTTTCAATATTAAGTCCATGCAGAGAAGACTGTATAACGCGGATTGTATCATTCATCTGATCATATGTAATCCACTTGTAATCCTGATCACAGTTATCACGTCTTCCCAGAAAAGGTTGTTTAGCTGAGGTGTTGAGTCCACAGAGAAACAATTCACAAACTGTTGATAGACTGGCGTATGATTTAGGAATTGGGGATATGCGCAATAAACATCCGACAGTTTGGATCATCATCTTTTACAGCAACAGATTGCTCGTGCAAATAACGGTCAAGAGGGAAGTCCACTTTACAGGATTTGCGTTTGTAAAATTAAACACCAGCTACAGTCACTGCAGTAGCAAGGGCGAAAGACAACATTCCCACAGCTACAACGCCGTCTCTGTCGAAAGTCAACAGATTGCATACTCAAGTGCAATTTGAAAATCTTATTAATCAGACCAACGATCTCACACCCACATCACCTGAGGAATCTACAGTTCTTGATTGCTGTCATAAGTTTACCAGTTTAAAACCAAGCTCGAATAACCTTCTGACTAAAGAGCATACAGATCAACTTAAACAACTGGAGAAGAATGATGATATTATTATATGCCGTCCAGACAAAGGTGGTGGTGTTGTAGTTATGAATCGCCAAGATTATAATGATAAGATCTCAGCGATCCTTTCCGACCAAATGAAATTCGCCAAACCCGATGGTGAAAAGAACAAGACACATTTAATTGAAAGTCAACTGACTGATGTCTTAAAGAACATGAAGAATAAGTCAGTAATCTCGTCGGAAATATATGAACGGATCCGACCAGTAGGCTCCATGATACCACGTTTGTATGGAATACCTAAAATTCATAAGACAGGATTACCCCTGCGTCCTATCCTTGATATGGCGGGTTCCCCTTATCACGGAATCGCTCAATGGCTAGCTGAAATACTGGAACCAGTCAGAAGGCAAGTATCTAGGTTTTCCATTGATGATACGTTTAAATTTATTGATAGCATTAAAGATTTCAATGTCTCAGACAAAATGTTGTTCTCATTAGATGTAACGTCGCTTTTTACCAATGTTCCTCTCATGGAAACTGTTTGTTACTTATGTGATTATATTGATACACATAGTTTAGAAATAGGACTGCCGACCTTCTACCTCAAAGAGCTTTTATTGAGATGCACGCTGAATGTTCAGTTCACCTTCAATAATGAGATCTTTAGACAGAGAGACGGCATTGCCATGGGATCACCACTGGGTCCCTTGTTGGCTGATTGTTTTATGGCTAAGCTTGAAAATTCTCAACTTAGTCAAACCATCGGTCATTTTGACATTTATAAAAGAAAATATCCCCATTTAGACATTTGGAAAACAGGAAGATTGAGCAGCGAAGAAATATTCACTTTTCAATTAGATCCTCATCTCATCTAACTGTGGCTCTACTCTAATATATACGTATAGCATTTTTATTACAATACACAACAACAATTTACCAATCACAAGTGGCACTGATATGTTTGTTAACAATGTACCGTTAATGGAGACAGTGGATTTTATATGTGTGAGGAGATTACTACACGAAACATAGACATCGGGATTTCTGTGTATCCACCTTGAAGAAGGAACTTATTTTAAGATGTACAATGAATGTTCATTTCTTATTCATCAATAAGGAATATTACAGACAAATTGATGGTGTAGCTATGGGTGGGTTCCCCATTAGGTTCAATCCTAGCTGATTTTTTCCTCGCTAAGTTACAGAGAGAGAATGGACCACTGAAAGGAGAAATTAATGACATGGATTTCTACTGTCGATATATATATGGATGATACATTTCTGGTTATGAAAGACGAGAATGATGCAATGAATATCCTTGACAAGTTTAATGATGCACATTCAGCAATAAACTTTACCATAGAGAAAGAAAGTAGTGACAGTATCTCATTCCTAGACGTCTTCATGAAAAGCAAAAAAAAGATGGCACACTAAGAAAGAGTGTATATAAGAAACCTACAACAACAGGTCAGTACTCTCATTTTTTGAGTTTTGTACCTTTGAAATATAAACGCGTAACCTGGTAAAGTGTCTGGTTCATAGAGCTAAGTTAATCTGTTCAGACGACTGCCTCAATGAGGAGCTTAAGATAATTAGAGAATTACTTAGAAAAAATGGTTATCCAGATAAATTTATTGAGAAGAATATGAATTCAGCACCTAGGAGAGTCAGCATTACTACAGTTTCGAAAAAACCAATGTTCATAAAATTGCAGTTCGTCGGTGACAACATCAGCGAAATAATAACACAGCGCCTGAAGAATGCAGTTAAAAGAGCTTATTATGCAGCAGAAGTACGTTGTCTCTTCAAAACCACCCCTATTCTATGTTCGAGAAATAAGGATAAACTACCTAAATTTGCCTCTTCTATGTGTATCTATCAGTTTGACTGCAGCTGTGGAGCCAGCTACATTGGGTGTACAATTAGGCAGGTTCATCATCATATTTCTGAACATCATCTTGCAGCATGCTTAAGCAGCAAGGGACAAACAAGATCTATTCGTAGCTAGTTCTATTTTAGCACACCTTGTTGATACTGAGCATAAGGTTGATGTGAATACTGCATTTAAAATTATTTATCGCATTCCTACTAATCTTAATTTCGCTCTACGAGTTCGTCTTCTACAGACAGCTGAAGCAATCGGAATCCACCAGAAGAAACCAAACCTATGTGTACAGAAGAAATTTGTACAGCCACTTTCCTTACCGTGGCCATCGTTACAAGACAGGACTACGTCGCCCCCCCCCTTCCCCCTAAACCTATTAAATAATAATTATCGAAATAATTTTATTTTTATTTTGACCACTTCATCCTTAATTACGTGTTATCCCTGTAAAATTAATTTATTCTATCCATTTCTACCTTTTAAATGTGTATTGATTTTCTTCGTTAATTATCAACCCATTGACATTTTGACACTGTTTAATTATTGTTAACAAACATATCACCACTAGTTTGGTAAACTGTTGTGTACTGTAATAAAAATGCTATACGTGTATATTAGAGTAGAGCCAGAGATGAGGATGTAATTGAAAAGTAAATATTTCTTCGCTGCTCAATCTTTCTGTTTTTAAAAAAGAGGACTGAGAATCTATAAATTATAACAATGATGTTGTGCAGCATTACGGATGCTCTGAAAAGAACAAAGAACTGAGCAACCCAGTTAACAAACTGACACCGACAAAAATCAAGGCGATCATGGAACAAGCTATCCTGCAAATACAAAAAATTCCCCATGTCATAATGTGTCTGTCTGCCTGTCTGTCTGTTTTCGACATAGAACCACTTTGCACCGATGTGCACCAGTTCAAGTCGCCACACACTCCCTCCACTCCATTTAGCGCACAAAGCAACAGAAGAAAGTAGAAGAAATGCATAATAGAGAGACAGTTAACACAGAGATGTGGTGAGACAAAGGGATAGTAATAACGAAGAACAAAACAGTTTCATTGGAAATCATAAGTCACAAGGAGTGGATGCATCTGAGCCAGCCAGCCAGCCATTGAGAACGATGAGTTTTAGCCGGCTATATCACCAATTGTTCTCAGTCTTCATCCCGAGGACCCCAACCAGTCAGGAAGCCAATCTACACCTTCCTACGCGACTGGCTGGCTGGCTTAAACTAACTGTTGTCGATTTCATTGACTGGTGCCATGTTTTGGTTTGACCACCACCGGTTAGCTGTTTTCCAGCCTGACCAATCCTATGTCAGTTAACATTGCTCATTGTCGAGAAAGGCGATGACTAGTTATGCATGCTAGTCATGACTAGTAAAACATGTCCTAACCATCTCAGTCGATGTAATTTCACAGCCTCGTCAATTAATATCCCCTCCTGCTTACCTAGCACTCGACATAAGCCTAACCTCAATATTGCTCACCTTATTATACTACCAACTAACATGGGAGATAGAACGCAGGCACCTATGATCGAAGACAGCTAGCCAGCCTTTTCATGTCTTCCACTCTCAATGGCCAGGTCTCACAGCTAGCCATAAAGGAGGACGGAGCGGACTGCTGCCTGAGCAGTACACCCGCCCTTTGGTCGATAGCCGGATATCGCGTCTATGCCAGAGAGGGCGTAAACTGGTGGGCGTATGCGAAACTAGCCCTCTGTATCCATACTCAGCTGAGATTTCGTCGGAGATCAACCCGCTGGCAATGGCTGATGGTACTTCCCAAATAAGTGAAGCGGTCAACGTGCTCCACCAACCACTTCACTCCGTATTTCTAAACTAGGAGTGAGTGTACTCCAGTCAGTTCGGTAACATCATCTTACATTTGGCAAGAGCGAATCGCATGCCAAACATTCGTAGATTGCAGCTTAGGAGTTCAGAAGACTCTGCTGTATTTTGTCAGCGTACTCACCCAGAAGAACAATATTTTAGCTACATATTCTAAGCCAACGAGATTATTCCCTTCCGTGGTAACAAGTCAATCCCTGAGTCTCTGAAGTGAGTTAGGGTTAAATCCACTTAGCACATCTATGATGAAATTGAATAGAAATGGGAATAATGGGTATCCCCTCTGACGGACACCACTAGTCGTCACCACTTCAGATGACAACTCGCCGTAAGCCCATGACATAATAAAAAGAATGAATAGCAAATAAATATATACATATACATTGGCCAAAGTGGACGTCCCTGCTCTTCGTCTTCGTATCCACGAACATAAGCTACCTGTCAAAAGACATGATATCCACTCCCTCATATCACTACCTACAGACAACCATGGACATCAATTCGACTGGGACAACCAACGTTAAAATATTAAACAGAGGAATCAACACCAAGAATGCTAGAGAATTTTTAGAAGCCTACCTGGTATTCCAGTGAATCATCAATCAACAGACACACATCGAGGTGGACAAAATTTTCTAACGAAGAGGAAGGAAACCTCACACACACATCAAAGGGTCAAAGTTCAAGTCAAAGAAACAATCAGTTGCAATACAAGCAGCCACCACAAAAACAACCAATCACGTCCAAGGTCACCAGGAGAGATGATTAATAAACTCGTGGAGAATTCTAAAAGCTCACTTCATCGAATTGAAGTCTGCGCTGAAGTTGTCGCCTAGTAGGGCGATGAAAGCTTCGCAAATTAACTATCCAGCTGGCTCAGAGAACACAACCACATCAAAATCATCCACCTGAGCTACAAATCTTCTCCATCATATCTGGAATCATCATTCCTGATAGTCTTAATAATACAAGTCAACACCCACACTAAACTTAAGGGAGATTGTAACGTACGTTACAGTATTTTCTTCTTCTCTTTTTTTAAAATATTAAAAAAATAAAATCAACTCACCAGTAGTGAAATCGAATTCAGCTAGTTGTAGGGCATAGATTTCGCATTCTTTTTTACTGAAACTAAATACAATAATCGGTTCTAGACTGCGATGTTTCACCAGCTGAACTATTTGAATCACATCGTTCCCGGAGCCTACAAAAAAAAGTATAACAAAACAAGTGCTTCACAATATTGAGCATAATCAGATAAAAGTTAAGGTTGGGAATTATGATTTCTACACACCTCCCCCCACCTTTTTTGCTGTTTGTTTCGGGGCGAAAATCCAGTAAGTAATATGCGCTTAAGACTTTTTATTTTAAGGGTATCAAATATTTATTTTTTTTTATAAAAAAAACAGCATTAATTAATAAGAAAATATATATTAATTTCCAAATTCTAGTGAGAGAAATGTTGTGGTCAGTGTGGTCGTCGACCAAGTTGGGTGAGAAGACAAAGGCACGCGCCAATGACACTGACTGACGTGGTGTTTTGAATCGTGACGAATATATTATTATTATTATATTATTTTATTATTACTTCCTTTAATTCCTAGAGGAACCATAGGGCTTCAGCCGTGCGTCTCTATTGCGTTCGGTTCTCTGCTTAAGTTTTCACCAGGCTTCAGGTCTGCCCACATGCTTTCATCTCCTCTTCACATAACCTCCTCTTCGAAGTCATCCTTGCACTGACGACCAACTCGCCGCTTCCCATTCCGTCGGGTTCCACTCGAGCAATGGCTTGTCTAGTGATGTCACTTGATGGTTTCCTGCCTATTTGTTTCACAATCGGTTCCTGCTGGGTTGGTTCGCTCATTCCAGAGATCCCAACCTGTTGTTGATCTTTTCTGGCCGGCCATCTGATCTTGAGTGGTATTGAGCGAATACAACTAGCTGTTGATAAAGGTCTGTGGTTTGTTATGAGGTGCTCTTTATGACGCGCTGGCCAAGTCTCTGATCCATCCGTATAGTAGCACTGACTGACTTCACATTGGAATTGAAAATCCGGATCTTATTTTCATTTTCATGCTGAGTGATGAGTGCTGTTGACCTCCACACAGACTTGAGAGTAGTTAGAGCTTGTCTTGTTTTTCCGATCCTTGCTTTGATATCCTCGTCAGTTCCACCCAACTGTAGTTGAAATGATGCTTCTCAGGTAGCTAAAAGAGGTTGTTTCTCTCAGGTTCCTTCCATTTACACTGATTGTTGTCTGTTGTTGCTGTTGGTGTAGCCCAGGAATCTTCATCACCTCTGTTTTCTCTATGTTCACCTGAAGAAAGTCCTATCTTTGATGCTTCTTCTGCCGACTTGTTGCTTTTCTCTTGCATATTTTCCAGTTTGTGGGAAATCAGACATATATATCACATCGGCGAAGTCCAGATCCTCCAAGTTTTTCGTGAGGGTCCATTTTATGCCTGTTTCCTCGCTGCCCTGTCCACTGTCTAACGCATTATCCAATCTACTGCAATCAGGAAAATCATTGGCGATAGTAGGGAGCTAGTCTTGTCTTACTCCCGTCTTCACTTCTTGCAAGGATTCCGTAAGTTTCCCGTTGTGGATTACTTGGTATGCAGCGTTCTCGTAAAACTATTGGATGAGATTTCGTGGCGAATATACGCTTCTTCAAAATTCCGTCCCCATAAATTGCAAAATAGCAATACAATGTCTTATTACCTTCACGACAAAATTAGAACAGTATCCAACATTAAGCCGAACCTCTGAACGGTAAGGATATGTGATCAACATAGGTGATCAACAAAGTTTAGTCACTAGACAAAGACTAAAGGCCGCAATCAATAGAACCTATTATGCAGCTAAACTTATCTTCATAGAGAAAACGAGGACTATGCTGTTCTGTAAACCCTCACATCATCCGAACGATAGTGTCACACAGTCCCACTGTGTTTATCAATTTACATGTATGTGTGGACGGAGACACGTACATAGGGAGGACCCATCGGTCTCTGCAGGTTAGGGCTATAGAACACACTCCAAAGTGGCTGCAACAACAAATGAAATCACCAGACACAATTGAACCCGGAAATAGATGTCCAACATCATCTATAGCCAAGCATATTATAGAGACGGGTCGTATAAGGCTGATTTCAACAGTGCCTTTAAGCCGATACATAAAACGAGGTTGGGCCACATACTTAAATTCATTGAAGCCTTAGCCATAAAAAGACTTAAACCTGTCTTATATGTCCAAAAGTTATTTGTTATCATCTTAAACCTGCCTTGGTAATTCAATTTAGAACCAAGGACTAATTTACTTCCTAAGGGATATTTTCAACCCCTTCTTTGCCTTGTTGTTTTTTCTCCTTTTATCTTTCTTACCCACACCTTTTGTGTCTCCCTACCCATTATTTGTGACCTTGACCTGTATACAATCAGACCTGTATTGTAATTATTCATGCCTTCTTGCATTATATAAAAAACTGTGTATGACAAGTACTGGTGTGTGTGTGATCAGAATGTCCGAAATGTGTTGCGCCAATACATACAATACACGTTTCAGATATAAACTACGTCCTCTTATTGTGTTGTCGAAATTCATCTAAGGGAACTAATTGCTTCAAAATTTTGATGAATCCATCATTAAATCATCCTGCTTTATAAACCTTTATTGTTTGCTTGAAATTTGTATTGGGAAATAAATGAAGAGTCCCAAACTAGGACGAAACAGCTGTCCAGTACTCCCAGCTGGTTTTCCAGTGGTTCTCTAACTGATGTCAGCTCATGATGAAACCCTCCATGCAATCAAACCAAATCCCTACAAAACCAATACTTGCAAATTAATCTGATGCTCACTAGTGACTGGCCCTATTCAGGCAGTTAACCTGGGGTTCTAGTGGGAAGCCGTGACCAGTAGGGTACAGCAGGTCGAAGATGAGGACAGTTACTCACGAAGAAGACATTGCGAAATGGTCGCGCTATGTCGTGAATTGGCAGAAGTTAGAATTCAAGGACCATTGGATCGGGTCCCAGTGGCTCAATGGTCTACGAGCTCGCCTCGTAACCAGAAGGTCCTGGGTTCGAATCCCGTTGGGCGCGTACTGCTGAAGAGTCCCAAACTAGGACGAAACAGCTGTCCAGTACTCCCAGCTGGTTTTCCAGTGGTTCTCTAACTGATGTCAGCTCATGATGAAACCCTCCATGCAATCAAACCAAATCCCTACAAAACCAATACTTGCAAATAAATGTTTCCAATTAAATTCCGGGAATATATTGAAGTGTAGGGAATAAAAAAAGAAGAGAGAATAGGCGTCGACTTACGTGCATTTTGTTCGCGACCTCTTTTACCACTGCTTGTTGATGGTTCAGATGTTGTGAATGAGCGCATTGCTCTTTCAAAGTTTTCTTCGATGTATTTCCCCTTAATATATAAAGTGAGATTAATTTAGCTTAAAGAGATTTTATAATTTAAAAAAAAGAAAAAGGTGAATTTAGAGATTTCTACTGAGAGTGTTTAACACCAAAATGAGGGTAATTCGACTGAAAGATAATTTTTAATAACTACGTTACTTCAAGTTAGGCCACACTAGCTGACATCAGTTTGTTTAAAGAACCTGGATTTCTGTCTGTCTGTCTGTTTTCGACATAGAACTGCTGCACCGATGTGCACCAGTTCAAGTCGCCACACTCCCTCCACTCCATGTAGCACACAAAGCAACAGAAGAAAGTAGAAGAAATGCATGATAGAGAGACAGTAAACACAGAGGTGTGGTGAGACAAAGGAATAGTAATAACGAAGAACACAACATAGTTTCATTGGAAATCATAAGTCACAAGGAGTGGATGCATCTGCGCCAGCCAGCCAGCCATTGAGAACGATCACTTTGAGCCATATCACCAATTGTTTCCAGCCTTCATTGGTTTTCACTGTCCGTCCCGAGGACCCCAACCAGTCAGGAAGCCAGTCTACACCTTCCTACGTGACTGGCTGGCTGGCTTAAACTAACTGTTGTGGATTTCTTCATTGACTGGTGAAGCCATGTTTTGGTTTGACCACCACTGGCTAGCTCTCTCTTTTCCAGCCTGACCAATCCTATGTCAGCCAGCTAACATTGCCCATTGTCGAGGAAGGCGATCGAGACTAGGCATTCATTCGTAACACATGTTCTAACCATCTCACTCAGTCGATGTAATTTCACAGCCTCATTGTCGATTGATTTCCCCTCCTGCTTACCTAGCACTCGACTTAAGCCTAACCTCACTATTGCTCACCTTATCATACCACCAACTAACACGGGAGATAGAACGCAGACACCTATGATCGAAGACAACTAATCTTTTCATGTCTTCCACTCTCAATGGCCAGGTCTCACAGCTAGCCATAAAGGAGGACGGAGCGGACTGCTGGCTGAGCAGTACACCCGCCCTTTGGTCGACAGCCAGTCAGTCGGATATCACGTCTACTAAGCCAGAGACGGCGTAAAAAACTGGCGGGCGTATGCGAAACTAGCCGTCTGTATCCGTACTGAGATTTCGTCAGAGATTAACCCGTTGGCGTTGGCTGATAATACTTCCCAAATAAGTGAAGTGGTCAACGTGCTCCACTAACCACTTCACTCCCTATTTCTAAACAAGGAGTCAAGGTAGTCTAGTCGTTTAATATCTTACATTTGGCGGGAGCGAATCGCATGCCAAACATTCGTAGATTGCAGCTCAAGGTTTTCAGAAGACTTTGCAAATATCTTATGTAGGCTTGTTTCAGCACCCTGTGAAAATGATGTACCTAGTGGTGAGTAATTCGGGGGGGGGGGGTAATGCATACACACTGAAGCAGATCCACCGGTGTGACTCCAAAATATAATAGTTGTGCTTGTGCCGTACAGATAGAAAATGTAGTCGGTGTATAAAAATTATTAGGTTACAAAGGCATCTCTGCTTGTTACTTCGGACGAAATACAGAATGACTTGGAATAATTTGATGATATTAGATAGTTGGAGGCAATCGGCGCCAGAGGAAGCCTTGCCCGAACCTAGGTTTCGTGCTGCTAGTTGGCACTCATCAGTCAGCAAGGCGTATCTGCAACCACATTGACGGTACAGCTCATGTCCCACCCATCTGAGATTCGAACCCGCGTCACCCAGTGGAAAATGGAGTCAAAGACGTTACCACTGAGCTATTCAGGCTCGCGATTGACCTCCTGTTGGACTGTAGTGGCTATTTTGATTGGACGCTAGCAACTAGTGTGATGTGTCTAGTCCTTTGTTTGGTGCAGACTGAATTCTATCAGAGTAGGTCAGGTTGGCAACAGTGTTAATGAGTGATGGTTAAAATTAAACGAGGGTGGGGTTAGAGAATAATACAGTTGAAAATAAGTAAGTTAATCGGATGACGTAACATAGTTGACTAGAAATTGGACGTGGGTCAAGTTAGCAACATTGTTAATGAGGGTAGAGAATACAAAAGGGTGGGCTAGAGAATAATATAAATGAAGATGTGAAATAATAAAATTCAAGAGACAAAATAATACAATTAGTAAGACTGAAATTAAGAAAGATTACGTCCATTGTAGATTTAATGAATGAACGAATTTCTTTTGTATGCAGAGTTCAGGATTTAGCAGATGAATTACCATTGCTTCTGCGATGTGGAGAAGTTTGATCCGTACACTTTTAGCAAGATTGCCTTGTATTCTGTAGATAACTTTGAAGTTTATTTCTGGTTTGACTTGGTGTCCAGAGTCGATCAAATGTTCAAGGATCGAGCTGCGGGGGCATCGGTTTTCTCCTTTGTAAAACCATGAAGGTAAATGTTTGTTGACGCGTTTGGATAGCGAACGCTGATTACGGCCGATATACCTGGCTCCACACGAGCAGGTTAATTGGTAGATGCACATAGATGAGGCCAACAGCGGTAGCTTATCGTTCACGTTCATACGAATCATTGGTCTCGTGGAGAACGTCAGTCGTAATTCAGCTGCAAAGAAGGTTTTCTTCAATGAGCGGGAGAGCCGATTTCTCAGTATTTCTGTAGATTGGTCTCCATTGAACTGTAGGTTCAGTCAGGTTTGCAATGTGGCCACCATGCCACTAGATAGCTCACCATCACGGTGCACACATTGATTTGATGATATTAGAAAGTTGGAAGCAATCGGCTAGAGGAAACCTTGGACCTAGGTTTCGTGCTAGTTGGCACTCACCAGTCACTCAGCAAGGAGTATCTGCAACCACCTTGAAGGAACAGGTCGTGTCCCTTCTGGATATCTTGTTCAAATGATAGATGGATCAAAAACTCTGAGATATTGCTGAAAATAATAGGGAATTTCATCGACTAAATTAAATTTCTTATTCAAAATTTGGGGTACTCAGCAAGTGTATCTACCACAGACTGCGCTTTGCGAACAGAATTCACGGAGGCTCTTTGTATATAAAGTATCCTTCCTTATACTCCATTATGGATAAGATTATATTTTGATAGAGTCTCATAGTGTTACACAGTAATATTAACTGATAACGTTTCGGGCACAAACTACTGCCACTCATAATCATATCAAGTCACTCACTCACTCACTGACACAACTTTCGTCTTCCTTCATTTATATACATGAGTGGAATTGATGATTAGACATTTGAATACAAATCAGTAATATGGGATAATGTACATTCAGAAATAATAATAGTAATAATATGAGTGTTATTGATCAATTACAATCAGATGGGAAATAAGACGAGTGTTTTTATAGTTAAAATAAGTAACTTGTTAGAATGTTGTGATGTACGTGAATTGAATTGAAATAGAATACAATTTAAGATTGTTTGTTATCCTCCTCTGATTTCACTGACTGACTGACTGACTGGTGGTGATAATATCTTCCATATTTCTGATATTTGCACTGAGTCATTTCTGTTGCATGTGTTGTGTTGGGTGTAGACTCGATGAACTAGCCAGGATTCAGTAATCAATCTCTCTCACTCTCTCTCCAACTACATAGATTACTTGTTAGAATTTTAACCCTCTCCCACCCACCATGCTATTGTGTGGTTGTGTGTTAATGCATATAGTGCAATTGTTGATCTTTTTTCTAAATTACTTATCTTCTCGGGTGGGGTCAACCATTCTTACCTTAGCTAAATTCTTACGTTCCCACAATCTGATTACCCCCGATCTACTAGTTTGACCTATATAGTTGACCTCACAGTCATTGTAAATGATATCACTTTGTCTAATTGGGTCAGTTGACAGGGTCCTTTAACCTACAGAGCTTGTCCTACTAGAGTGAGTTTGTAGGTTTGAATGCCACCAGCCTAATTCCTGCTTTATTTAGAATCCTACGCAGGGTCTCAGATGACCCCTCCCTCCTTATATGGTATAACAGTAGATGACTTTTATTCTCTCTTATTTATGTTATTATTACTAGTTTCATAATTATTTTTATTTTGCTTTTGGCCTTTACTGATCTTCCTAATGAATTTTGTAGGATAGTTAGTTATTTGACACCAACGCTTCTTCTTCTATCTGTTTTATTTCATCATTTAGGTCTTTTCTTGTGCTACTTAGAGCTACTGCTCGGTTTGTTAAACACTTAACTAAGCCTGCCTTAACAGTTAAAGAATGAGATGAATTGAAGTTTAAATATCTATTAGAATGCGTTTGTTTTCTATAAACACTAGTGTGTAGTTTACCTTCTTCTATTCGCTTTATTATTTCTGAATGTACTTTATCCCATATTACTGATTTCTATTCAAATGTCTAATCATCAATTCCACACATGTATATAAATGAAGGAAAAAGTTGTGTGAGTGAGTGAGTAACTTGATATGATTATGAGCAATAGTTTGTGCTCGAAACGTGGTCACCAGTTAATATTACTGTATAACACTGTGTGACAGTTTATCAAAATAAAATCTTATCCATAATGGAGTTACACTCTACCACAGTGCCCAAGTTTTATACTTATATCCTTCCTTATTCAGGAACTCACAGAAGATGTAGTGTTTTCTGTGTGGGGGGAGGGGGGATTTACAGACAGCAATCTTCAGCAGAAACAACCGTCCATCATCATCATCATCATTCATTAGTCTTTGATATCCCCTCGATTTGTTGTAAGAAGATGTAGAGATTTGTCTTCAGACTAGTTGTATCTCTAATGAATTGCCTATATCTATGCGCGTAAGGACATATTTCCTTCAAAAGTGATCAAACTGTACAACCACCTTACCGATACCGATCAACATAAATACCTACCTTTCCCCATTCCTGTTTAACTTCATCATAGATATGCTGCTAATGGAAGTATCCTTAACTGAACTTAACGACTTAGGGGAATCGACTTGTTACCAGGGAATAGTCTTATCGACATAGAATATGCAGATGACATTGTCCTGCTGACAAAATACAGCAGAGTCTTCTGAACACCTTGAGCTGCAGCAATCTTCGTATGTTTGGCATGCGATTCGCCTCTGTAAAATGTAAGATGCTGCTACAGGACTGAGTGGACTACGTCAACTCCTAGCTTATTGATAGGGAGTGAAGTGATAGAACACCATGTTGACCACTTCACCACCTATTTGGGAAGTTGTATCAGCACCAACGGAATGATTGGTGACGAAATCTCAGCACGAATCCAAAAAGCTCGGACTGCTTTCGCTAACTTACACCGTCTCTGGAGTAGGCGTGACATCCGATTATCAACCAAGGGACGTGTGTACTGCTCAACAGTTCGCTCCGTCCTTCTCTATGGCTCTCTGAAACATAGCCAATACGGGTTGAAGACATGAAAAGGTTGTTTGTTTTTGATCATAGATGTCTACGACGATCTCTTTCTCACGTTAGGTGGTATAATAAGGTAAGTAATGTTGAGGTTAGGCGTGGAGTGTTGGGCAAAGAGAGAAAACCAATCGAAGAGGCTATAAAGTTACATAGATTGAGATAGCTACGTGACGTGCTGCTCATGCCTAACCATCGCCTCCCCCTCCCGACGGGCATTACTAGCTGATATATAGGTGCAGGTTGGAAAAGAGTAAGTGGTGACATGCCAAACAAAAACATGGCCTCATCAATCCATGAAATCCTTGACAGTTAAACTGAGTCAGTCAGGTAGGGAGGGAGATGCAGACTTCCTGACTGGTTGGGGCCCGCCCTCGGGACTCTAAGAATCAATCAATGGCTGGAGACAGACAATAGGTGACATGCATGGCTCAAAATTGTTGTCAATGGCTTACGCAGATGTATTCAGTCTCTTGTGTAATCTTTCATATTCCTTTCTACCAATACTCATTCTGTCTGTTTCACTCTTATACTTGTCAAAACTCTATGGATTGATTCTCTTCACTCATCTATCTTCTTGTCTACCTTTGTGTGCGTGCTATTTGGAACGTGGCAACTGGAACTGCTGCACTTCGGTGGCAAGTTCTATGTTGAATCCAGACAGACAGACATACCAACGATATATACCAACGACAACATATAACTCACCTCATCTAATACAAGAAATAGGCCTTCACTGCCAGCAGGATACAAATAATGACGTAAAGGTACAGGACGATATTCAGAAGAAACAACATGACATGGTTGATGATGAAGATGCGCGATCCACTCGGCAAACTGTCGAGCATTAGGAATTGTGGCGCTAAGAAAGACAAAACGAACATTATCCGGTAGAAGTACTATAGTCTCTTCCCAGACAACTCCACGTTCAGGATCACGCATATAATGGATTTCATCGAATATAACCCAGCCAACTTCTCGCATCATTGAAGCACCTCTAAATATAAAAAAAACAGGAAAGTAGCAAAAGGTGTAGGTAGGGTATTGTGCAAAAAACACTGAATCAATACAAATTAAACCAACTATTGTAAAGTTTTCAAAAGAATGGATAGATACTGACTGAACAAAGAATAAATACTCTTTTCGATAACCCCTTCATCATCATCATCAGGCTCTACAGTTATATATATCCATCCATTATAGTGAATGAATGAATGAATTAGTGTTATGAACAACAACATTCATGTCGCTGTTTAAATAACATCGAATCAATAATATTGATAGATTACAGCTGAACCAAGCTGGACAGTGTTCCAGAATACGTTTGTCGACTTGACGTTGTAACGTAAGGCCGATATACTTTGCTCCACACGAGCAAGTAATTTGATATAAATACACATTGAAGTGGCCAAAAGCGGTATCTTATCCTTAACGTTAGACTGGATTAACTGTCTGCAGGAAAATGTGATACGTAGGGTGGCGATTGGAAATGTCTTCTTCAGACATTTAGAAAGGCGGTTTCTGAGAATTTCTTCCGCTGAGATGTCACCTTTGAATTCCAGGTTCTTGAAGGGAGTTTTCTTCGGAAACGTTGCGATGCCTGGTGACGTGTGGTGACGTCTCTCTCATGTTCTTGTCAATGAATCTTGGTGGATACCCGTTCTCTAGTAGATACCTAGTTTTCCTTTGTTTCCAGTGGTCGCTAAGTGCAGACTGGAAATCGAGCACCTTCCACATGGGTGCTTCACAGTGATACACAGAGTACCTCAATATCGTACAAAGGGACTTTGGATACGCCATCTGTACATAGCTGAAGCATTAGCTATTCGAGATCAGAAACTGGACCTGTGCATTCAAAAGCGGTACATGCATTCTCTCGCACTACCGTGACCAGAGTAAAGTTCTCGCTATAATTTTGCTTCTTTCTTTTATTATGTAAGTTTACTATTATTATTATCATTATTATTCCCATCATATACATTTTATCACTCACTCTTGCTGTTTAAATAACATCGAATCAATAATAATAATACCAATGGATTACAGTTCAATAGAATCAACATAACAATACACACTGAATGTCAGTTGAATTAGGAAAGATAATAATACAAATTCATGAATTTATAGTCTCCACCCACTGAAGGCCAGTCAGGGTAGTAGTAGGAGCTAGCTGGCTGGACTAGCTTCTTGTCTACACACAGAGCATTGGTTGTTTGAGGCGAATTGCAATAGCCTCTGGTGTTTGGAGCATTCCGTGCTTCGATGATGATTTTGGCAATTTATGTGGCACCCGGTTATCACTTATCTAAGAAGCATTGTCTCAACCACAGGAGGAACGGATGACGAGGATGTCAAATCGAGAATCGGGAAGGCGAGAAACACATTCATCAACCTGAAACAAATCTGGAAATCTTCCGCTGTCACTCAGCAACACTCAACAACAAAATTCGGATTTTCAATACAAACGTCATGTCAGTCAGTTTTTCGATACGGATCAGAAACTTGGCAGTGGGTCACAAAGAATATTTCCAACAGCCTGTTGCAGACCTTTATCAACAACTGTCTTCGTTCTATACTGAAGATCAGATGGCCGGAAAGAATCACAAACAAAAAACTATGGGAACAAACAAAACAAGAACCAATCACCCAACAAATATGCAGGAGAAAGAAGTGGAGATGGATTGGACACTCGCTGAGGAGGCCACTGGGTGACATCGCGCGTCAGACAACGCTCGAGTTGAACCCGAAAGGGAAGCGGCGAGTAGTGGGACGTCCAAGGGTGACATGGAGGAGATCGTGTGAAGAGGAACTGAAACAGTATGGATCAACATGGATGCAAGTGAAAAGTACAGCAGAAGACAGAAGCAAGTGGAGGCGTGCAGTTGAAGCCCTATGTTCCACTAGGAACCCAAGGGAACAATAATATAATAATAATGTGGCACCCGGTTGATGATGATAGAGAAGGATTCTTCCTTGCTGGCTGACTGGATTTGTGGCCGGCCGGTCGGTTTGCACCAGATGATCCAATATCGAACTGCTGATGATGGTTTTCACTACACACCTTTACTTAGCCATAGTGGGAGAGTGAGCACGAAAAATCAAGTTCCTAGAGCAACAACATCCGATATAACTCGCTCCACCACAAGCACAAGCACAGTTGCAGTTGAATTGGTAGATACAATTTGAAGTGGCCAGCTAGTCTAGTCTAGGTACTTTATCTTTCAGTCGAGGAATCACCATCGGTCGTGTGTAGAGAATAATACGTGTAGTTCGCCGCCAGCATTAAAAGTTCTTTCAACTGATTTTCTTAATTTCCTCGTTAATTGTAAAATCACTAAGTTTCAAGAACTTTTATTATAACGGGGTGTCAAGAGATTTTTTTGTCAAAGTATATTAGGAGAATGATGCTCAAGAAGGCTTCGTGTGCTTTTGGAAGTGTGTGTGTGTGTATGGGCGGTTGCTACTTCCCAGCTGCCCACACACCACTGTGGAAGTTGCTTGATTCTTCAGGTGTCTGAAGCAGAGAGAGGGTTAGTGTTGCGCGTGACCGCAGAGCCCAGTAGGGGACACAACTGCTTGAGCCAGGCCTGTCACACACACACACACACACGGCCTGTATGAACTGGTTTCTTGGTTTGATTCCGTATTAGTAAACTTACCGCCGGTTACGGACCACCGTAGGTGAGGTAAGTCGGGATGTACAATTTTTTGGGTTGACCTTTTCTAACCCCTTCCTCGTCTCCAGAGTGGAGAGACAGCATAGCTGGCTGACATGCTGGTCAACATCTGAGGGAAACACCTCACTGCTGTTACACACCCCTGTTCCCCAGCAGTACGATTTCGCCCACAGACACCCAGCATAGTGTAGGAAAGATTCTTACACTATATCGCTAACTGCTTTTAGTCTAATCAATATCATAACAACCTTCCTGGCATGGTAGGACCTGCAGGAACATTGGTTCCAGCCAGTGTGGGGCTTGTTGGGTCATCGCGATGTGCAAGCCCGACCACCACCACGTCAAGGTAACAGCTATTGGTCGGTTTGATCAATGATGAGTTGCTGATTGACCACCTATCAACGTGGTCCCTGGACAAGAATGGGAGGAACCTGAAAGAAACAACCTCCTTTACCTACCCACCTAACTGGGAAGCATCGTTTCAACTACAGACCGACGGAACTGACGAGGATATCAAAGCAGCGAGGATCGGGAAAGCGAGATAAGCTTTCACTACTCTTAAGTCTGTGTGGAGGTCAACAGCACCGCTCAGCATGAAAATGAAAATAAGATCCGGATTTTCAATTCCAATGTGAAGTCAGTCAGTGCTACTAACTATACGCATCAGAGACTTGCACTGCGCATCATAAACAGCATCTCAAACAAACTACAGACCTTCATCAACAGCTAGTTGTCTTCGCTCAATACCACTCGAGATCAGATGGCCAGAAAAGATCAGCAACAGAGATCTCTGGGAGCAAACCAACACAGCAGGAACCGGTTGTGCAACAAATAGGCAGGAAGAAATGGAGATGGATTGGAAATACTCTGAGAAAGACATCACTAGACAAGCCATTCCTCAAGTGGAACCCGACCGAAAGGGAAGCGGCGAGTTGGTCGTCTGTGCAAAGGGCGACATGGAGTGGAGGAGGTCATGTGAAGAGGAAATGAAAACGTGTGGACAGACGTGTGGAGCCAGGTGAAGACTCTAGCAGAGAACAGAACGCAATGGAGACGTGCACGGCTGAAGCCCTATGTTCCTCTAGGAATTAAAGGAAACAATAATAATATAATATATATATTTATCAATAAAATACCGCTACACTGATTAAGAGCTTGAAAATACAAGAGGAAAATCAATAAATCGATCAGCTTACTTGTACAACATCGATTGAAGGATTTCCGTTGTCATAATCAATACACTAGCACTAGGATTGATTGAAGCATCCCCGGTTAACAATCCAACTTCTGGAAAAGCTTCAAAAAATTCTCGGTACTTTTGATTGCTGAGTGCTTTAATGGGGGTAGTATAAATGACACGTTGCTTTTCACGTAAGGCAGTTGCTATCGCATACCTGAAAGTATATATATAGAAAATGGTAAAAATTGTTGTCAACGCCATGTAAGTGCTATCTGATAATGTCCGTCAGGATGGTCGAGGGTGGGTGCCTTGCGCTGCGGGTTGGCCACCCCTCCACACACCTCTTGAAATGCTCCCATATGACCGGGCGTCTTACATAGCCTCTCCTGAGGAAGTCCTACTCACTGCCTTCACATGGCGGAGGTGTTTTTCACCAAAGTGAGAGGGCGAAAGCGGATGCCCGGCGCTCTTCACCGGGTTGACTGACTGTCCATTGGATGAAAGTCTAGGGGAGATGGCTAAACCCTGACTCCAAACCTCCAACGACTGGCGTATGAAGCTCACTGGAGCTCACCGGCAGACGTATGGACAAAGGGCTTGTTGGATGTCCTGGATGTCTGGCCCCATTCAAAAAGGCGTATGAACCGAACTCCGGTCACCGGCTGCCAATGGATAGTGGACTCCCTACTCCACTTCTACTGCCTTGTAGGTCACACTTGGTTGTGTAAAGGCTGGAGCTGCACTTTCAAACAAAAGGCCGAGCGATTCTGGGGACATCACTCGTACCAAATTCCCATGAAACTTCATGAACTCTCTTACAAACGACTCTCACCATGCTACGGCGTTCCCGGTAAGCGACGCGCCCCGGTGGCTAGTGTGTCGCAAAACCTTGCATCAGATCGCCGCGCCTGGGCAGCGATGATTCGAGATGTTCATGAAGCCGGCTCATCCTCCCGTAGGAGATAGCCGAAGTAAAGTAAAGTAAGTATGGACTTTGACATAATACTTAGAGCCTTACGATCTTCAACAGACATGGCCACGTGACCATGGTCACATCGTCAAACTCATTCTTCTTATAGAACCGTTCGAACATAGCCTCAATTTTTTCTGTAGCTAAGGTATGATTGACCATGCTGGTTTCTCTGCAAGGGTCTTCCTACTATGTGGTCCCAGTAATGTCCACCCCAAAGGAGTCTCTTTATGGTACAAGATTCGTTAGCTCCACCAAGCCTTTTATCAATCGTTATATAAGCTTCTGGCACGTTGTAGCCAAAATAAACATCTTAGTTTCTTCATTCTTAACCTCTGGTAAAACTATTCCATCTAGGTGACTCCATGAGGCCATCTGATCTGCTGTTGGCACAAATCTTTGTAACTGTGGCGGCAACCTCTGCACTGTCCATGCTTTGGAAACAGTAACATGAAGGGACGAATCCAGCAGAGAGAGACTTCTAGTGGATTGTGAACCAGGCGTCTTAAGGGAGACTGTCTTAGTTGCTCGTACTAAACCTAATCCTCTTGCTAGATCTTCTGTGAGCAGTGTTGCGTCTGAACCGCTATCCAAAAACGCACAGGTTTGAACAACATTGCCATTATATCACGCTGAAATGGGCACTATAGCAAGTGCTGTCTCATTTGTCGGCGTCTTGTGTGCAAAGTCATATCACTACACCACACTGTTGAGCGTTGATATGCACATCATATTTTTTTTTATATCGTCGGATAATCCCTGGCTTCTGTACAGCAATGTATGGTGTCTCTAACCACAACCTTCAATTGTACAGGACCTTGGAGAACGACAATTCATCGCCATATGATTTGCTTTTAAACAGACGTTGCATAGTTTTCTCTTGGAAACAAATGCCACACACTCATCAAGGTCGTTATCTTTAACCTCCGAACACAGGTCTAGGAAATGTCCTCCCGAACAACAGAATATATACAGGGTGGGATAAATAAACGTGATTCATTCATTCACTTATCCAGCTACGGAGCATTGTCTCAACTACAGGAGGAACGGATGACGAGGATGTCAAATCGAGAATTGGGAAGGCGAGAAACACATTCATCAACCTGAAACAAATCTGGAAATCTTCCGCTGTCACTCAGCAACACTCAACAACAAAATGATTCGGATTTTCAATACAAACGTCAAGTCAGTCAGTTCTTCTATGCGTACGGATCAGAAACTTGTTGGCGGGTCACAAAGAATATTTCCAACAGCCTGTTGCAGACCTTTATCAACAACAACTGTCTTCGTTCTATACTCAAGATCAGATGGCCGGAAAGAACAAGAACCAACAAGAAACTATGGGAACAAACAAAACAAGAACCAATCGCCCAACAAATACCCAGGAGAAAGTGGAGATGGATTGGACACTCGCTGAGGAGACTGCTGGGTGACATCGCGCGTCAGGCCATCGCTCGAGTGGAACCCGAAAGGGAAGTGGCGAGTGGGACGTCCAAGGGTGACATGGAGGAGGTCGTGTGAAGAATAGCTGAAACAGTATGGACTAACATGGATGCAGGTGAAAAGTACAGCAGAAGACAGAAGCAAGTGGAGACGTGCAGTTGAAGACCTATGTTCCACCAAGAACCCAAGGGAACAATAATACATTCTTAGGATCATTATTCGCTTTTTCGACATTATTCTCTGAGAGCCAGGGGTAACAAACACTCGGTGTTTAGAATCAGAGTTTTTTTTTCGTAGGGATGCTAAACTCTTTACTATTTTTTTTTCCCGTGAAATACCCATTGATTAGTAGCGCATACCTGGTGTGTTAGCCATATCTGACTGCTCCTTAACAAACAAACAAACATAAGTCGCCAAATGATGGTTCTTGACAACACTCTTTATCACGTTGCAAGCGACCTTTATCCATTCTCTCTGTGAATGGACAGGGAGTTTTAGAACTAGTTCTTCAGTTAATTGGTTTATCAGAACATAGTTCATCTGCTTTAATGTCAGTTCGTACGTAGGCTTGCATCTCGTGAGATAGCCTTCTTAATAATAATAATAATGCTGCATCGTTGCTTTTTAGAAACATTCGGAAATTCCAGGAGTTTCTCTATGAAAGTCCGGGCCACACAACATGCTTCTTCTAACAGTTCTAGGGCTTTATAATAACCTTCCTCGGGCTCTAACAAAACACACACAGTGTTTGATTACATCTTTTGCTATTCCCTCGCAATACTGAATTAAGTAATTCAGCTTAGTTCGGTATCCCATCGGCATCATTATCCATCCATCAAGTCTTCAAAATTCTTTATAAAAATTCCAATAATTTACAGGATTACCGACAAACTTAACAATCCATCAAGCTGTACAATCGTGTACATATTTATGGTTATATCCTGTGAGGGAATTGAATCATAGGTGTGAATACATGAAATAATAATAATAGTAGCATGAAATGCAATTAAAACTAAAATGTTTGTGATTATAATCACAGTTTAATGTCAAGTGGCAAAGTAATTAATGTCATATATAGAATAGTAATACATAAGGTGTATAGATATTGTCGGAAAGGGGTACATAATTACAGGATTAGTAGGCGAATATGAAACGTTACAAAATATGGTGTGAAATTAGATAAGATAGAATTCAATATTGTAAAAATAAAAATATAAAAATCAATAATTTTGGGTTTAGAATGACGAGTGGGACAAGTGGAAACAATTCAGAGTGAGAATAGTAATAATAATAATAAACGTAGTAATAAGGGAAGTGTGTGCGAAGCTCTATTCTGGAACACCTACCTTGACTTCTGTCAACCCAGACCATGATTTTAAGATCATATGCAGAATCCATGCTAACTTGCTGGCCGCGTTTTCTTCGTTACAGACTTCTAAAGACAGAGGAGGCCTTGGCAATTCATGACTTTAAGCCAGACGGGTCTTTGTGTACAAAAGAAGTATGTACAATCCCTAATTCTGCCTTGGCCGTAGAGGGATAGACATTTATTTATGCAACTTTCCCTTATTACTACGGTTATTATTATTATTACTATTCTCACTCTGAATTGTTCCCACTTGTCCCACTTGTCATTGTGAACCCAAAATTATTAATTTTTATATTTTTATTTTTACAATATTGAATTCTATCTTATCAAATTTCACACCATGTTATGTAACATTTTACATTTTATATTCGTCTACTAATCTTATAATTATGTACCCCTTGCCAACAATATCTATACACCTTATGTATTATTATTCTATAAAAAATGACATTAATTATTTTGCCATTTGACATTTAACTATGATTATAATCACAAACATTACAGTTTTAATTGCATTTCATACTACTACTACTATTATTATTTCATGTATTCACAACTTCAACCTAATTCCCTTACCCGATATAATTTTATAAAAAACCATATGTGTATATACGATTGTACAGCTTGATAATAAATTCGTTGTTGAAGAGAGTCTCTTCGCTGAATATCTTGTGTTCTTAATGCTAAAATGGGAATTATTATATTATTGAATAAATAATTTATGTTTCACAAATGTAGCAACTAATGCATATTAATTACATGAATAAAATAATGGGAAATGGAGACACTCAAAACAAAGGGGATGATTCAGTCAGCGAAGACTCGTTTCAACAACGAATTTATCATCAAGCTGTACAGTCGTATATATATATTTGGTTTTTAAGAAGTTATATCCGGTGAGGGAATTGAATCATAGGTCTGAGTGAATGCATAAAATAATAATAATAATAACAATAGTAGTATGAAATGCAATTAAAACTAAAATGTTTGTGATTATAATCATAGGTAAATGTCAAGTGGTAAAACAATTAATGTCATTTTATATAGAACACTGATTCATAGGATGGATAGAACTTGGGAAGGGTGAGCAGTTATAGGATTAGTAGACAAATCGAATAAAATAAAATGAGAACGTTACGTAATATTGTGTGAAATTTGATAGCATAGAATTGAACGTTGTAAAAAAGAAGAATTGATTTAGAATGACAAGTGGAACAAGTGAAATAATACCGGGGACAGTTCAAAGTGAGAATAGTAATAGCAATAGTAACAATTGACATTGTAATAAAGGAAGAGAATACAAATTGAATAGACAAAATGAAAAATAAGTGAAAAATTGGTAGAGCCAGAATATGATTGGGGATTACCATACTTTAGCATATAGAGGGATTAAGACCATGAAAGTTGGAGGGGAGGGGTTGAACGAACGTTTTATTTTGTGCACAGAGATCTGGCTTTTCTGTTTCGATAGCCAAAGATGGCTTCAGCAATACAACAGGTGAGTCAGGTACGTAGTGATTTGGGTAAATTACTTTTGGCCTTGTAGATGACTTTAAAGGCGGATAGTAAAGATTACATTGATAAAATGTCACATCTACTTTCAGACAGCAGAAAATTCTCGAAACCGAACGAGAAAAACAAAAGAGAATTATCAAGTGTTGGTTTGTAGGGATTTGATTGGTTACAGGATTTCATTATGAGCTGACATCAGTTAGAGAACCATTGGAAAACCTGGGAGTACTGGACAGCTGTTTCGTCCTGGTTTGGGACTCTTCAGCAGTACGCACCCACCGGGATTCGAACCCAGGACCTTCTGGTTACAAGGCGAGCTCGTATACCATTAAGCCACTGGGACCCGATCCAATGGTCCATGAATTCTAACTTCTGCCAATTCACGACATAGCGCGACCCCTAGCCAATGTCTTCGGCGAGTATTTGTCCTCACGCCCGACCTGCTGCACCCTACTGGTCACGACTTCTCACTAGAACCCCAGGTGACTACCCACCTGAATAGGGCAAGTCGCTAGTGAGCATCTCATTGATTTTCAAGTGTTGGTTTGTAGGGATTTGATTGGTTACAGGATTTCATCATGAGCTGAATCCCGGTGGGTGCGTACTGCTGAAGAGTCCCAAACCAGGACGAAACAGCTGTCCAGTACTCCCAGGTTTTCCAATGGTTCTCTAACTGATGTCAGCTCATGATGAAAAGAGAATGAATTGAGAAACAACTTACCGGATGCTTTAAAGAGAATGAAGAACAATCATCTCAATTCGTGAAGAACTGTACGAAAAGATTAGACCAACAGGATCTCTAATACCAAAACTTCACGGTCTACCGAAGATACACAAAGTTGACCTACCACTCCACCCTATCTGGGATCTGTCCCGATCACCTTATCATCCAGTAGCTGGGTGGGTAGCTGAAATCCTCGAACCCGTCAGGGGACAACTATCCAATCATTCCCTTCGTGACACCTTCCACAATTTGTTGAATGTATACAGGATACGAATGCTTTGAATAAACATATGTTGTCTTTGGATGTAGAATCCCTATTTACGAACGTTCCACTGACAGAAACCATGTGTTTCATATGCAAATATATTGAAGACAACAAATTGAATATAGGGATACCCACCCACTACAGATCTGAAAGAACTACTTTTGAGATGTACATTCAATGTACAGTTTACTTTCAATGAAACAATCTACAGACAGAAGGATGGTATTGCAATGGGTTCTCCCCCTTAGGTCCTCTCCTTGCAGACTGTTTTATGTCCAGTCTAGCAGAAATGGTCAGTTGAAGTCAACAATGCAAAGCTTTCAAATGTATAAAAGGTATGTAGATGACACCTTTATTATTTGTAATAGTGATTGCAATTTGAATAATATATATTAAATGTATTTAATGGTTTCCATCCTGCGATAAAATTCACAATCGAAATGGAGAACGAGTCTAGCATTCACTTCCTCGATGTGAACTTATCAAGGAGACCGTGAACTCTGAAAGATATTATCGAAGCTGTCAGGATAATGGTCAACTGACAAATTTCTACAGCTGATCGAAAACGAAACCTGGTCCGGTCGCTTGCCACTCGCATTCGGCGCATATGTAGGTAGCCCTGATACTGTGGAAGATGAGTTAAATCTTTTGAGGAAAATCCTAATAGAAAATGGATTTCCACCACGTTTTATAAACAAGAATATACATTTAAATCCTATAAAACGTGACGCTTATCATCCGTACCCAAGAAAGTACTGTACATGTGCTTGGAATTCAAAGGGGACTTGCTTAGCTTCCGATATCATCATGAAAAGGATATCACACAGTGCCTGAAAAGAACATTCCCTGCTGCATCTCTGAGAATAAATAGCCTTTACTAGTCGACCATTACTGTTGTTCAATAACCTGAACAAGGACAAGATCCCGCTGTTGACCAACTCTATGTGTGTGTGTGTTTATCAATTCACTTGCTCGTGTGGAGCTAGGTATATCGGTCGTTCGACTCGAGCTTTGTTCATGGTTATGAAGAGGTGGAAGTGGAGCAATAAGAAGCGCGATCATTGAACATCTCCTTGCGATAATGATCACCCTATCTCTATAGCCTCCGCCTTTAAAGTCATCTACAAGGCAAACAGTAATTTACCAAAATCACTACGTACCTGACTCACCTGTTGTATTGCTGAAGCCATCTTTGGCTATCGAAACAGAAAAGCCAGATCTCTGTGTACAAAAAAAAACGTTCGTTCAACCCCTCCCCTCCAACTTTCATGGTCTTAATCCCTCTATATGCTAAAGTATGGTAATCCCCAATCATATTTTGGCTCTACCAATTTTTCATTTTGTCTATTCAATTTGTATTCTCTTCCTTTATTACGTCAATTGTTACTATTACTATTCTCACTTTGAATTGTCCCCGGTATTATTTCACTTGTTCCACTTGTCATTCTAAATCAATTCTTCTTTTTTACAACGTTGAATTCTATGCTATCAGATTTCACACAATATTACGTAACGTTTTTATTTTATTCGATTTGTCTACTAATCTTATAATTGCACACCCTTTTTCCAGTTCTATCCATCCTATGAATTATTCTATATATGACATTAATTTGCTTTGCCACTTGACATTTAACTATGATTATAATCACAAACATTTCAGTTTTAATTGCATTTCATACTACTATTATTATTATTTTATGCATTCACTCAGACCTATGATTCAATTCCCTCACCGGATATAACTTCTTAAAAACCATATGTGTATGTACAATTGTACAGCTTGATGATAAATTCGTTGTTGAAAAGTCTCTTCGCTGAATGGATCACCACTTGTTTTGATTTTCTATATTATTAGTGGCCCAAGTGGTCCAGTGGATAACGCGCCCCCCCCCGTTCAATTATTGACTACTCGAAATATAAAAAAGGGGAGTTGGTTGTTGTTGTTGAGGTGGTGGTTAAAACTTACTCCGCCACAACTGTCTTCCCAGCAGAAGTATGCGCTGACAGCAGTACCGACTGATTATTATCAATGCAAGTGATAGCTTGCTGTTGAAATGCATCCAGAGTGAAGGGGTAGGTTTTTGCTGGTTGACCAGTAGCTTTGGTCAATGGTTTATACTCTACACCTGCAGGAACAGCCACCTTGAAACACAAAAATTGAAACAGAGAGAGAGAGCATATTACACGGTGTTCAAAGAGTATATATATATATATATATATATATATATATATATAACTGATTCTTATTTTCGTTATGTTGATGATACGTTCATTATTATTCTTGATGTGAAAACTGACAAGAATGAAATGTTAAAAAAGTTTAATGATGCACACACATCCATCGCTTATCTTCATTTGCGAAGAAGAACATGATGGCGGATTACATTTCCTTGACCTAAAGGCGGAATTCGATTCTCTAGACCGAGAGGTTCTCTGGCGATGCTTGGCTATGAAGGGAATGCCGAGAAAATACATTGCACTGATTAAGGCACTCTACTCGTACTCATCCAGTCAGCCAGGTGAGGGCTTACGGTGAGTTGTCATCTGAAGTGGTGACGACTAGTGGCGTCCGTCAAGGATGCCCATTATCCCCATTCCTATTCAACTTCATCACAGACGTACTAATGGACTTAACCCTAAGACACTTCAGAGACTCACGGATTGACTTGCTACCATCAGGGAATAATCTCGTCGACTTAGAATATGCGAACGATATAGTCCTTCTAGGCGAGGACGCTGACAAAATCCAACAGAGTCTACTGAACACCTTGAGCAATAATCTTAGTATGTTTGGCATGCGATTCGCCCCTGTCAAATGTAAGATGATGCTGCAAGATTGGACTTCACCGACCCCTAGATTAGAAATAGGGAGTGAAGACGTAGATCACGTTGACCGCTTCACTTACTTGGGAAGTACCATCAGCCAGTGCCAATGGGTTGATCTCCGATGAAATCTCAGCACGAATACAGAGGGCTAGGTTCGCATATGCCAGTTTACGCCGTCTCTGGCTTAGTCGACGTGATATCCGACTATCGACCAAAGGGCGTGTCTACTGCTCAACAGTCCGCTGTGTGACCTGGCCATTGAGAGCACAAGAAATGAAAAGATTAGCTGTCTTCGATCATAGGTGTCTGCGTTCTATCTCCCGCGTGAAGTGGTATAATAAGGTGAGCAATATTGAGGTTAGGCGTCGAGTGCTAGGTAAGGTGGGGAAATCAATCGACAAGACTGTGAAATTACTTCGAATGATATGGTTAGGACATGTGCTACGTATGCCTAGTCATTGCCTTCCCCGACGGACAATGTTAGCTGATATAGGGTCAGGCTGGAAAAGAGCTAGCCAGTGGTGGTCAAACCAAAACATGGCACCGGTCAATGAAATCCACAACAGTTAGTCTAAGCCACGTAGGAAGGTGTAGACTTCCTGGTTGGGGTCCTCGGGACGGTAAAAACCAATGAAGGTTGGAAGCAATTTGTAACATGGCTCAAAATCGTTCTCAGTGCCGTAGATGCATCCACTCCTTCTGACTTATGATTTCCAATTAAACTGTTTTGTTCTCCGTTATTACTATTCCTCTGTCTCACACCTGTGTTGTCTCTCTATTTTGTATTTCTTCTACTTTCTTCTCTTGCTTTGTGTGCTACATGGAGTGTGACGACTTGAACTGGTGCACATATGTGCAAAGTTCTATGTCGAAAACCAACCGACCGACCGACATTTACTTGACGTCCAATTGAGCAGAAGAGAGGATGGTTGACTCAAGAGAGTTGTCTATAGAAAACCTACATCTGTAGGACAATATACACATTTTCTCAGTTTTGTACCAATCCGATATAAAATCAATTTGGTCAGATGCCGCCTTACGAATAGAGCAAGACGTATGTATCCGTACAGATGACTCCCTAGAAAATGAGCTAGGATATATCCAAAATACGCTGGTCCAAATGGATTATCCTAGTAGATTCGTAAGGAGACAGGCGCATGAATACCAGGTACAACAAAGAAAAACTGACAACAGTTAAAAAAAGAAAGAACTGTTCATGAAACTTCAATTTAATGGGGACGTGGTTAGTGAAGTCTAATAACATATGAGATTATCGAGAGCGATAAAACGGACTTATACTGCCGCCACCACCACCCTTTGTTTGTCATTTTCCAGCCGCCCAATTATGATTGCTCAAGTGAAAGATAAGTTACCTAGTTAGCTGTGCCACTTCGATGTGTATCTATAAATTTAGTTGCTCCTGTGGAGAAAGCTATATAGGGCGAACAACTAGACAACTTAACAAACGCATTAATTAATGAGCATCTTCCTTCATGGTTCGAAAAAGGTCAGATAAAATCCATACGAAGTTCTATTTTGGCTCATTTGATTGATGATAGCGGTCACCAAGTGGACAAAAATAGTGCCGCCTTCAAAGTTATCTATCGTATTCCATCGAACTCTTTCGAATGGAATCAGAACCCGTCTTTTACACCTAGCCGAAGAAGCTATGGGAATTAATTCGAGAGAACAATCCTAGTCTTTGCATACGACAAAAGAAGTTTGTTCTACCTTTGTCTCTCCCTCGCCTAGCCGAGGTGAATTCTATTCAAAACCCTCCCATGCACCCTTTCTTATTTTCCACCTCTTTCGTACTTTTATAATATTTATTTAAACTCTGATTATCGTTCCACTTCACCTTTTAAGATTTGACCCAATTTATTTATACACTTATATACATATACTATCTTTGTCATTCTTATCGCCACCTGCATAAACTTTATTATCAATATTTCGTTATCATTATAATCATCGTTATTAACTACGTTCAAAACATTTACCACATTTACCATATCAGTCCGTGATCAACTCGTAAAACATAACTAATCCTTACAAACCAAAAACTATAGAAAATTATTCTGATGCTCGCTAGTGACTTGCAACAGGTTGGAGCTTCCTGGAGTTCTAGTGAGAAGTCGTGACCAGTGAGGTCCAATTAGATGTCACGTGTGTGGATGGATGTCCCACCAACGACAATGGTTGGGGTCGCGCTAAATGCATCACGAATTGGTAGAAGTTAGAATTCATGAGCCATTGAATAATTGGGTCCTAGTGGCTGAATGGTATACGAGCCAGCTTGCCTTGTAACCGGAAGGTCCTGGGTTCGAACCCTAGTGCATTGGGTGCGTACTGCCGATGATTCCCAAACTAGGTTGATGAAACAGCAGCTGTCCAGTACTCCAGTGCTGGTTTTCAATGGTTCTCTAACTGATATCAGTCCGTGATCAACTCGTAAAACACATTATTATTATTATTAGGACTATTAAGATTATTATTTGATTCCCAAAATCACCGTCATTGGTTAAAATCTTTATATATATAAATCTATGTAAATTAGAGTAAAGCCTGAAGAAGGGGATCTAATTGAAAACAACAATATTGTTCGCCTGTTATTATATGTCTTGTTCTAATATTCAAAAATGGGAATATTTAAAGATATATATATATATAACTACCTCATGTTTACACGATGCTGGTGAATTGACCTTGTATATTTTGATTCTAGGCGCATTCAAGTCGAGGACACCACCGACAAGCAATTTTGGTTGTTTCAAAGAAGTACTACTACTAGTCCCTGAGCCTTGTTCCCCAATTTCATTCAATAACGGCTTGAGTGACTCCTCAGCTCTGGAGAAAAAAAAACGACGGAACACAAAAAGCATGTCAATCAATGAGTTTGGTAATTGGAGTTACGTAATACACAAAATCAGTCAAGAAAATTAGGTGTGTTAGTGAAATTAGGGTAGTAACAAAGGTGAGTGATGAGTTGTCACAAACAGTTGTTAGAAAAGAAGTTATGTAATAATAATATGAATAGTTTGATGAGTGAGTTTTACTCAGGATGCACATAGGAACAAAGTAGATAATACGAAACTATGTAACAGTTCTAAATGAATACAAGAATTATAATCAATTGAGGAACAGGCAAAGAAACAAGATTAAGTCATCAAAATCAATTTCCTGGATCTAAATGTAAAAAAAAACAAACGAAGGCATGATTGAAAAGTCCATCTATAGAAAAGAAACCTGGACTGGACAATATCTTCACTATAACAGCTTCTGTCCCATAAGCTATAAACGTGGATTAGTGAGGACTTTGTACGACAGACCTAGGAAGCTATGTTCACCAAACAAGGTCGAAGAAGAACTAGATTTCGTCGAGAAATGCCTGAGGGAAAACGGATACCCTAAAGGATTTATACAGAAGTATAGCAGAGAAAAAGATAAGAAAGAAAAGCATCCAACTGTAGAAAAGAAAAAAGTGTTTATTTGTCTCCCATTCAAAGGAGATGCAGTTTCACAAAAGATTGACAGAAGACTGAAAGGAGCAATAAATAGAAGCTTCCCGGCAGCAAAACTCGTAACAGTATACAACACCACTCCTTCCATGATCCACTCAAAACTGGATAAATACCCTGCTGATGTCACCTGCAACTGCGTTTATGAATTTACGTGCACTTGCGGTAGCAAGTACATTGGAAGGACAGAAAGAAGGGCTTCTATCCGGTTTTCTGAACATATTCCAAGAAACCTATGCCTGAAAGGAAGCAAATATTCTCAGAGTGCAATTACCAGACATATCGTTGATACCGGACATCTCGTAGAGATTTCTAAGTCCTTCAAAATATTAAATAGACAAAGGACAGCAAATTTACTACGATTTGCCGAAGCGATCGCAATCAAACGATTTAAACCAACCAGACTTATGCATACAGAAAGAGAGTGTGTGTGATGAACCTCTCACTCCCTTGGTAACTGAATTTTGATTTTGATGAGTCATCTAATTCAGTGATCTCAACTCACTGAGCAAATCTCAATCTTATAAACAGTAAATGCTTTTGTTTTTCGGAGTTGCCATGTGAACCTACAAGCTAACACTGTGTCTGTTAATCAATTTTCTCTGTTTTCTGTCTTACCCCTCCCCCCTCTTTTCAACTCTGAAAGTGTATAAATTGATGATGATAACTTAAACTAAAAATTGCAATGCTTTCATTCTTTTTTTTTTGGATGCGTCAATTTTATCTCTTCTCTACTACTAATCAAACATTAAAGTATGTTATTATCATTTATATAACCATTGTAATTTCAGGTAGCCTGCAGCTGATGAGAACCTGTGAAATAGAATGATATCATTTTATACTGCAAATTTCGTCTTCCTTTCTTTATCGAAATTTATCAAGGGAACCAGTTGTATGAAAATCAAAAAAGTTGTTACCAAGACAGTAGAAGTGGTTGAGTAATCCTCTTTTGTATGCACAACTCCGGGTTTTCTATGTGAATGGCCAGAGCTTCAGTGATGCAAAGAAGGCGAAGCCGTATTGCCTTTGATAGGTTATTCTTGACTCTGTAGATTACTTTGAAGCAGGAGGAGTTTGTTGAAATGAAATGATCAGTGTTAACCAGGTGTTCAATTATCGCACTCCTTATAGCACCACCACTATTGCCTTTTCGCAACCATGCTGGCTGGATAGTGTTCTTGAATCCTCTTGGACAGGGTGCGCGTCGAACGACCGATGTACCTGGCTGGCTCCACAGCAGCAGGTGAACTGATATATACGCACATAGAAGTGGTCAGATGCGGGATCTTGTCCTTGAGGCTTCTGTAGATCAGTGGGCAACTGCAGAACACTATCCTTAGCCTTGCTGCAAAGAATGTTCTTCTCAGAGATGATGTGATCCTTCTCTCTTGAGAATATCGCTTGCTAAATCTCCCTTGAAATCCAAGTTCATGTCGAGTTTCTTTTTAAGCGCAAGTGAAGTTTCGTTTCTACGAATTCTTGGTTTGATTATTTTTGTCGATGAATCTCATTGGGTATCCATTTTGGATGAAAATTTCTCTTAGAATATCTAATTCTGTTTCTAGAGCGTCGGGACTGCAAATACGTCGGATGCGGGTGGCAAGTGATTTAATTAAATTTCGCTTTTGTTCAATGGGTACCCAGCTATAGAAGCTTGTTAGTTGACCATTCCAAGTAGGTTTTCTATGGATCGATCTTCATAGGCTCCTATCAGTTCTTCTTGTTATTTTCACATCAAGAAACGGAATTTTTTGACTCGTTTTTCATTGCTGAATGGCAACAGTTAAATGTCTTCAGTAGTAGATTGGGGTCATTGCTGTTGTCACAAATAATGAATATGTCGTCTACGTACCTTTTATACAGTCGCAAATTGTCAATGCTTGGCTTTAGTGGACCTTTCTCGAGGCTTGCGGCGAAGCAATCTGATAGTAGTGAACCCAACGGAGATCCCATTGCAGTAGCATCTTTTTGTCTGTAGATGGTGTCGTTGAATGTGAACTGGACGTTCAGAGTGCATCTCTCAATAGTAATTCCTTCAAATATGTTGTTGGTATTCCAATATTGAGATGGTTGTCATCTATATATTTGCATATGAAGCAGACCGTTTCGATTCCATTCATTCCATTTCAACAAACGCCTCCTGCTTCAAAGTAATCTACAGAGTCAAGAACAACCTATCAAAGGCAATACGGTTTCGCCTTCTTTATATCGCTGAAGCTCTGACCATTCACACAGAAAAACCGGAGCTGTGCATACAAAAGAGGATTACTCAACCACTTCTACTGTCATGGTAACAACTTTGTTGATTTTGGTAACTTAATCTTGTTTCTCTGCATGTTCTTTAATTGCTTATAATTCTTGTATTTCATTTAGAACTCTTATGTAATTTTGTATTATCTACTTTGTTCCTATGTGTATCCTGAGTAAAACTCACTCATCAAACTATTCATATTATTATTACTTAACTTCTTTTTTAACAACTGTTTGTGACAACTCATCACTCACCTTTGTTACTACCCTAATCAATGAGTTCATCTTGTAGTGTACAACTGTTTGGAAAATAAATAAATTTCACAAAATAAATAAATAAATGCCTAGCACAAAAATGAAATGAACTATGATGAAATACGTTAGATACCTGCTCAGAAAGATTAAAGGTGTTGTATATATCTATCAACCGCCTTACGTTTGCATCACTTAATCTAACCGGCAGTGTAGTATGATGACTACGCCGTGAGAAGTGGTCAAGATGCGGAAGGTGATGTGAGTAAAGAAAAATGATGATGCCCAAGAAGGCTTTGTGTGCTTTTGGAAGTGTAAGATGATGTTACAGGACTGGACTAGACTGGGCTACACTGACTCCTAGTTTAGAAATAGAGAGTGAAGTGGTTGGTAGAGCACGTTGACCGCTTCATTTATTTGGGAAGTACCATCACCCAGTACCAGAGGGTTGATCTCTCTGACGAAATCTCAGCTGGGTACGGATACAGAGGGCTAGTTTCGCATACGCCCGCCAGTTTACGCCGTCTCTGGCTTCGTAGACGTGATATCCGGCTGACTGGCTGGCTGTCGACCAAAGGGCGAGTGTACTGGTCAGCCAGCAGTCCGCTCCGTCTTTCTTTATGGCTAGCTGTGAGACCTGACCATTGAGAGTAGAAGACATGAAAAGGCTGGCTAGCTGTCTTTGATCATAAGTGTCTGCGTTCTATCTCCCGTGTTAGTTGGTGGTATAATAAGGTGAGCAATAGTGAGGTTACGCTTAAGTCGAGTGCTAGGTAAGAAGGAAGGGAAATCAATCGACAATGAGGCTGTGAAATTACATCGACTTAGACGGACAGGACACCTGTTACGTATGCCTAGTCATCGCCTTCCTCGATAATGGGCAATGTTAGCTGGCTGACATAGGATTGGTCAGGCTGGAAAAGAGCTAGCCAGTGATGGTCAAACCAAAACATCACCTCACCGGCCAATGAAATCCACAACAGTTAGTTTAAGCCAGTCACGTAGTAAGGTGTAGGCTTCCTGACTGGTTGGGGTCCTCGGGACGGACAGTGAAATCCAATGAAGGCTGGAAACAATTGGTGACAAGGCCGACTCAAACTCATCGTTCTCAATGGCTGACTGGCTGGCGCAGACGCATCCACTCCTTGTGACTTATGATTTCCAATGAAACTATATCGTGTTCTTCGTTATTACTATTCCTTTGTCTCACCACACATCTGTGTTTACTGTCTCCCTATTATGCATTTCTTCTACTTTTTTCTCTTACTTTGTGTGGTACATGGAGTGGAGTGTGGCGACTTGAACTGGTGCATATCCGTGCAAAGTTCTACGTCGAAAACAGACAGACAGAGACGGTATAAGGGATAGAAGTGATTATCGGAAGGCGTGGTGGCGTCATGTGTATGATGTCACAGCTGGACCCTAACCAACTATGACAGTGAATATCTCGACAAAAAAAACAAAAGAAAACAATTATCGATTTTCCATTAGATGTGTGTTACATACATTCGGGATGATGCAGCGCTAAAACAGAAGTCGTAGGAGCTTCTGACAACACAGAACCACTCCTTCGAATTCGGTCAGTCTAACGCACGAGACATACACACACACTGACTGACTGACTGTTTTCAACATAGAACTTTGCACCGATGTGCACCAGTTCAAGCCACCACATTGCCTTCACTCCTTGTAGCATACAAATCAAGAGAAGAAAGTAGAAGAAATGCATAATAGAGAACCAGTAAATAGGTGTGGTGAGACAAAGGTATAGTAATAACGAAGAACACAATATAGGTAATATTTCGAGCAAAATTACTGCCCGTGTTC